TTCTAGTTGATAAGCATCAAAGTAGCCAAAAACCAAAAGCATACGCAGTATATATTGTAGTCTATATATAGATATATATATGCATACACAACACACACACACACACACAAGATAAAGAACACTTGCGTATATATAAACATATATCTATTCGGTTATATATATTTATATGCATGTAATGATAATATAATTTATTTGTACAACACACACACACACACACATCTATTATACATACGTACTACATTTTAACCTATCGAACCTAAAGGGCGACTAGACGTAATTATTCTAAAAGAAAGCGCGGAAAGCAGCAGCTAGTAGAAGGACAGGAGCGGTAGAGTAGCAGTAGATCTCGGTTAGAATCGACCCCGAAACCCAGACTCACACCGGGCCCAACATCCAACCGATGGCACTCAGACTTCCCCCGACAAGAAACCGAACTCACAACCAAAAGAAGAAGCTAAGTAACTAACAAAAAAGGCGTTGGACTGACTGATTTTTATGATTAATTTAAAAAACAAAAGAACATAAACGAAGAAAAAACTCACACGAAGGGAATTCTTTTTTAAAAGCCAACCGAAAAACCAAAAAGAACCATTTGAATTGAGAAAGCTTAACACTTAAGGAATTCGCCGGACAGACTGGAACGGTTTTGAGGGCTGCTTCAGTTGAAAGTCGGATAAAGATATAAAGATATAATATAATATTGTAATAACGTTTAAGTTAGTGCAAGGCAAGGCCCAAGCGGCTGTCTCGTTTTTTTCTAATTATTAATCTGTGTAATTTAATGACTAGCGCATATTCAATAATATTCAATTCTAGATATACATATACGTGTATGTGTGTGCAATGGTAATTTGTCAAGACATCTATGGAACCTACTGTACTACCCCCCTAAAGTTAATGCTAAAGTATTGTCCTGTATGCTATGCCTGAAAGTCATTTAAGTACTTAAGTAGAGAAGCTAGTGGAAGTGTGTGTTTTCTGTGTTACCCAGCTAAAGCTGCTAGGAAAGTTACTAACTAAGACATTTAGTATATATCTTATGTTATTTACTTTCCGAGCAGCTTTAGCAGCCAAATCAATGCAAAATGTCCACCCAAATTTGTTAGGCAGCCAAAAAGAAAAGAGGAAAGCCAGCTTCAGGAGCGTTTTCTATTCGTTAGCAAGTATGTCTGAGTGAATGGGCGTGAGTGTGGCTTTGTTTTTCACTTTGTTTTTAGTTTGTATAAATATTTATAGAACCTTAGTATTTGTATTTGATATTCTTAGTTGTTTGTATTTACTTCGTGTACTTGTGTTGTGTACGTAGTTTTATTTACCTTATAATTTCGAAATGTTGCAATAAAACCGCATACATATGCCGGTGTATGTATGATAAACCAAGGCTCTCATTCTTACTAATCAGATTGCAACTGATTGCAATCTGATTTCCACTCCCCATGGTGGCGTCACCCCACCGCCCGAAGGCCACAGCAATCCAACCGACTTTGAATTATCGAGGAAAAACCAAAATTTAGCAACTAGTCCTTGGTTCATTACCAATTACCAATTACCAATTAGCATATAATACTTATCAACATACGTATATACGAATACGAATACTCTCTTTCTCTCTACCACTCTGTCTCTATTTGACTTTAAGACCCCGGCCGTGGCCAGGTGGAACCTCCTCCAGCCTCCAGCAGGTGTGGGGAGTCCCGTGGACCCGATGGCCGGCAGCGCATAATCACCGCATGTGTCTCACTCGTCTCGTCGCAAGTCCTTAATATAGCTTTTGAAAAGCTCGCCTCTAAACAGTGCCACCAACAAAAACAAAACAAAATCAACCGTTATAACTTACGAAAAATGATTAAAAGAAAAAGAAAAAGAAGAAGAAAACACCTTTAAAGAACACGTAATGGAATCAGTGAATCCAGGTACTGCACGCGTCCGATGATGAATGCCAAACTTCCGCTTCATTTTTTGGGTGTGAGCCTCTCGCGAAACCGGATTCAGATCGCACGCGTGCAGTTTTTGTCGAGATAATTGTTATTTTTCGTGAAAATGTACTTCAGTTCAAGTTTATTTTTGGGCAATTGTTTGTAAGCGTTTTTTATACCGTATTTAACACACACTCAAAAAACAAAAACCAAAAAAAAACACTAACAATCAAAAAACCAGTATAAAATTCGTAAATTAAATCAAATTAAATGATAAAAGTAATTTCGCTGTTGCCTCGAAATTCTCAAAGAGTAGGGGCCAGTCGCTTAACTCAAAAAAAAAAACCAAAAAATAACGAAATGTATGACACCTACAGAACACATTCGTGCCTTTTTCATTGCGAAAAACCGTCCCAACCAGCATAACCGAGCGGAGGATGATATTGCCATCTAATCTCTGTGGGTCTCTACGGGGTACTGTCATCTTCCTGAGTAGTAGAGTAGCCTGAGATCCTCCGCCACGAATACGTTGAAACATTTAAAGTCCCGCAAATGCCTTAAATCAAGAAAATTATATTACCATTAGATATTCAACTTTATTCATCAGTTCGCTTGTAGGTTTTGAAGCATTTTCGAAATACTTATTTTAGTTCTCCGTTTGCAAGCAAAGTTGGCTGAGTTCTGTGGCCTCGTCTGTAGGTAGAGGTGCGGATCCATCGGGAGGTTTTAAAAACTGTTTCTCTCTTTGAAAAGTATTCTGAAAACTGTATTGATTTTATTGTGTTTTCCCCAGTTTAAGTCATTTACTATTTGATTTTATCTTTTCTTAGATTCATCTACATATCATTTCATTTTCTATATTTTGAGTGTAAATGTGTAAGCACCTCTCATTTTGAAATATGTGTTACAAATTCTATTCCTAGGTTAACTTGTATGAATCTGTGTTGCCATAATATTTTCACTTTCACTTATATGAATCAGAAATCAGAAATTAACTTACCCTTCCCTTAAACAAAAATCAGAATTGGCCAGCGCAAAAAAAAGGTATTGTAGAAGTTGATAGAAGAAACACTCCACTTAGCAATTACTGCGACTAGCCAATTAATATTGATGACAGCATTGCAATTAGCTAAACAAGTAAATTGAAAAGTAAAAATCTCAAATCAAGTCTTACGAATCATGGAAAATAATAAGTCACAGAAACAGTGCTAATAAATATACTCTGAAATAAACCTAAATACGAAATGCATTTATTGTTTACTCGCCGGTCAATCTCTTATCTCAGCCAGCTCGGATGGGCTGTTCAGTAATCCTGTTTTTCAAAAACAACATCTTAATGGGATTGTTGCACTACACAGGCTGGGAAAGTGGAAAACTCTCTCGCAAAATGAACATAGAAAGGGAAACGCTTCTCGGGAAGTGGCCACCAACAGATACAAAAATCTGGATTCCAGTCTCGAATCTTCCACTGAAACATGAATGGAACATTTCTCAGCATACGTGGGTTTTTTTCTTATCATCTGGAAATTTTCCACTCACTTTGGTGGCCTGCATCTTGTGCATAGGTCAATTTTCATGGTCTTCTCTAGCCCATGTTTTGGTTTTTGAGTTTCTCAATTTTATTTTAACTGCTCGGCACTTCTTTTATTATTTTTACCAAGTGGTGAGGGTATTCAAGACTCGTTTTAATTACCTCAAAAAATCAGTTCTCACGCAATCTTGTTTTGATTATTTTTGCTTACGTCGAGCAGTAGAATTGAAAAATACTTTTACCAACAGAGACCCTAGCAACGAAGGGTAGGTATGAGTTTGGATGATTTTACAGATTTAGTAGTAGATTAGTTAGTCTAGTCGGGTTAAGGTTGGTATAGGTGGTGTTAGGGCTTTCTCCTTAATTGGGTTAGCTGTAATTTTTTAACAATAAATGGCTGTCTGAGCCTGTACAAATTCAAATATTTGTGCATTTCAATCTGAAACTGATTGCACTTTTGCGTAATGTCGTAAAGTTGTTTACATATTTGCTATTCCGATCATCATCAACGTCACTGTGGCTTAGCACACGACCAATGTGTACCCCCCATGAAGTGATAGGATGTTGCATCCTTATCAGCATGTTGATACTTCATTTCACATTGTATGCTTATTGTTTTTCCCAAGAAGATCGTTATTAGGTTAAGTACTTGCGGGTGCGACTAAGATCTATTTGCCAATTTGTTATCAGTGGGATGAATGGGTTGCTGGGTGATTCAAGAGCCAATCCCCATTACAACAGACATCATCGACTCGTGTTGACTGTAAGGTGTCTGGCTGGAAACTGATGACCTGGTAAAACTTTCCGACTGGCCAACTGATAAGCCTGGCAAAGGTTAGCGAACGAATTATAGAACAACTCTCGGCAAGTGGCCTGTTTTGAAAATATTTAAAAATAGCTTGACTGATTATTTTGTTTGGCCAGTGATTTGAATTAGTTTGATATTTTTTGTAATTTTATTTGGGAATTTTCATATAATAACTAAGGGAGATACTTTAATACTTTCCCTTCAAGTATAAGAGACTAATAATTGTTGTGGCAGAAGATCTGCAGATGATAACGCTTCTCTCCAAGATTAAGAAAGATAAAGGTGCGTTCTTTTAATCTAATATCCGCCTTCTATATAGACTTAACCCACTTATGAATTCCAGCTGTCTCTCCAACAGAATGCCTATCAAAAAGTCCATAAAAAAACTTATCAGCTAGCATTTTGCGGAATCATTTAGGGTTCTCGCCGTTAACGTTCCTTATCGAATGTGTGTAACTAAAAGAGTTGTTTTCCTCCTCCGACACATACTAGTGTTTGAAATATATTTAAATTCGCTCAATTCAATTAGTTAGGAGCAACGATTCCGGCAGTATTATATACAGCACCCATACGCGCTAAACGATTTTAAATTGAATGCTGAACAATCAGCGCCGGCAGAGGCAGAGGCTCGGCCGAGCGGCGATCTGGATCTCCGAGATTCCGAAACCGAATCTTTTCCTGAAGCAGAACGACGTCGTCGGCTTCGTGGGGCCTCCTCCTCCGGTTTATAAGCCCTCGTCCATTAGTCGGCAGCGTTCATTTTACAATCAGCGCTCGAGCAGGCAACAAGCCGTAAAGAAGTACCACATCGAAGTACTAGTATATGCACCACATCGAGTTCTGGACGCGGCCATAAACCTAACATTTGTGAAACGTAACGAGATTACAAAAGAAAGAGAATTCCAGTATCCAGTTCCAGATTTCTAAATTAGTTTTGATTCGCGAAAAAGAAACGTGGACAGTCGATTTGGTCATAATTTCAAGCGCGAAAGTTTGATTTGCATAACCAGAAGGAGAGCGTCTGGGGCGATTATATAATTGCAGTGTATTTCGATTGGACAAAAGCATCTCCGACTCCATCTGCACAATGACGGGTTACAAGGTGGTCAATGGCAATGGCACAACCAATGGAAGCACCAATGGACACAGCAATGGTCACAGCAAGTCGGCGGACTACACAGCCCAGGAGAATCCGACGTAAGTGTGTGGGGAGTTGATGGTTACATATAGTTATAAAGGGGGCATATTATGTACATCGTAGGGCCTCACGCCAGAGGCTCGTTAAGTACAATCAGCTTTAATTGAAACCTTCAATAGTGCTTGCCTTTCAATGCTTCAGCTTTATGGTATCGACTTAACCCCACTGCGCCACCTGTCCTTCTGCACGACCGCCTCTCCTCCTATCCTTTGCCTGAAAGCTTTTGTGACCCGCTTTTTATGGGGGGCCGAATCGATATGGCCTTGGCTATCCGAGTTGGCCAGGCCAGTAGCTTCATTTGAAATTTCAGTAGTCGTCCTAAGCACACGTTTCGGCCTACGGGAAATTCAAATTCAAAAACGAACTCCATTCGCTGCCTAGTGCCTTTCGGGCTAAAACTTCTAACCAAACCGCAGAATGTGTTCCCGCGACTGTTGCGCCGGGCCAGGTGGCTCCCACCGAGGCAACACCTGCACGGACAAGAAGGGCGCCAAGGGCGGGAGCCTGATTGGCGACAAGATCATTCCCACTCCACAGAGTCTGCTGTAAGTTAATGGCCCAACTATACTACTCCCTGCCTTACTTGTCAGTCAGTTCTATCCGTTCGAATCCCAAAATCTAAAAACTGCACCCCTTTTGGCCTCAAAATGTGTAACACCGATTGCTGTTCGAATCCTAAGGGCAAGGCTGGCACCAAGACCGCCATGAACGATACCCCAAAGGGGCCAAACAACGCAATCTTACCCACTCCAGAGAGTCAGCTGTAAGTTCAGTGGTTTATGTTTACTTCGGCCAACCTAAATCAAAATTCAAATGACAAAGCTAGACAGGACAGGTCCTTGATCTTTCCGCTGCTATCAAGAAACGAACTCTGCTTAGATCTGTTGAATTTAAATTAAGACATTCCAGTATTCCAGGCTTATCAATTTTCGTCATTCGACGCTGGCTAGTCATTAAAATCCCATTCGAAGAATCTCTAATCTGCATATGATTAAAGTAGTGGCTCGGTTTGGGTTCATTCCTGTTTACTAACAGATAGAAATATATATATATTATTGTTTTTAAACTTTTTCATCCAGGAAGCATATTTAATTTTTTATGAGGATTTTTTCATATCAATTATACAGTAATTAAATTTTAAATCACTCTCCAAATCTAGCAAATAATTAATATTTTTTGAGTGTACCCAAACTTTTTGTTAATTAAAAAGAACTATGATTGCCACCTGCCTTTGTAAGTGTTTAATGGCCCAGTTAACGGGGGGCACTGAGTTCCCACTGATTGGCTGGGCCAGGCGGGTGTGTTCCCTGATCTTGACATAGGCCTCCACATCGTAATCTTTACTACAGATACGGGTAATTGGCAAATGGTCCGATAAAGAACGCAACTAAAACATGTTGCCGCATTGATTAGTTTCGAAACTTGTTTTGTTTCGATGGAAACAAACAGTGCTGAATATTGATGAAGCGGCGAAAATGCCGCGTCGCGTGTTCAGATCGAATTTCCATAATCGACTGGCTACCGAAAGACCAATTTATTAAGGGACTATTGGCTAAAGTTGCCAATTAGTGTAAGTTATGCATGATTCTGGCTGATCATCTTAATGACGCACTTTATGTTTACTTTTTAGAGGCTTGTTTTTGTTTTTCTCATGTAATATTGATAAGTTGCAGCATCATCATCCGCGGCTTATCAATTCACTCGAGCTGATCCGAGCACAAACACGTGGGGGGTCATGAGATCAGTTTTGGTAACAACATCTTAACATTACTCGACTTGCAGTTCAAGTTCGAGCTGTTCAGCCTCGAACCAGCTGAATTCTTTATGGCCATAATAGAACCTAATTGCTGGTTACTATTAGCCAACTCGATAATAGCTAGTGAGATAAATGGTCGTGACAGTTCTACCACATTCTTGTTATTGCCGAGAAAGAAATACAACCATTAATGATAGAGGGGGTCCTTATCGCAGTGTTTGTTTATAGACATTAATTTCAGTTTCATATCTGTTTATCGTAAAACTTTTTGGCCATTTACTTAGCAAAACAATTTTTTCCCCAATTGCAGCGGAAATGGAAAAATCCAATGCGACCTTACGCCCGAAGAGCTAAGGGCCTTGCGGGTTCTCAACGAAGACACGTTTGTAGACCAATTCCTCTGAGTTCTGTTTCTCTATGTTCAATCCTCATTGAATTTACTAAACCTTATGTTTCCATATTACCATGATTGGCAGTGTAAAGAAACCGACGAGGATCTCAACGAAGAGTTCAGTTCTTCCAAGATTTTCTTGTCCTAAATTTCGATTTCTGTTTTTGTGTTACCATGTGTCTGAATATTGAATCCATTTCTGTTATATTTTACAATCATGATTATATTCATATCTTAATTTTCATTTTGACGATGTCCTAAAGAAGTATTTTCATTCTTCAGAGTTATCACTGTTCAAACTATTTTTTTATGTGACGTCTTTTCTTTCATACCATCAAATTGATTTGTTTTGATATCTGAGATTGGTATCTTTATCTATATATATTCCCTCAGGGAACTTCATCAATTGGTATCTGTATCTTATAATGTTCCCTCTGGGAACTGCATTTCTTCAGTTGTTGTTTATCATTGTGGCGAGAAGATATAAAAAGGATCTCTTGCTTGTGTACCATGTACCGTATCAGTTCACTCGTCTACTCCTTTCCACTTTTCATAGTTGAAAGATCAGCAGCAATATCATTTCGAACCAGAAACATTCTCACACATTCTGAACTTCAACAGGTATCCCTATGAGGTCATCGAGGAGATCGCCGATTTCATCACCAAGGGCTCCGGCATGCGCCCCAAGATCGGCATCATTTGCGGCTCTGGGCTCGGCTCTTTGGCCGATATCATCCAGGACCCAAAGATCTTCGAGTACGAGAAGATCCCCAATTTCCCGGTATCCACAGTTGAGGGCCATGCCGGGAGACTGGTGGTCGGCACCCTCGAGGGCGCCACAGTTATGGCAATGCAGGGACGATTCCACTTCTACGAAGGCTACCCGCTGGCCAAGTGCTCGATGCCGGTCCGCGTGATGAAGCTGTGCGGAGTGGAATACCTCTTCGCCACGAATGCGGCGGGTGGCATTAACCCCCGGTTCGCCGTGGGTGACATCATGCTGATGCACGACCATGTAAACATGCTCGGTTTCGCTGGCAACTCCCCGCTCCAGGGTCCCAATGACCCGCGTTTCGGACCTCGCTTCCCCGCCCTCGTCAATTCGTACAACAAGGACCTAATCAATAAGGCCATTGAAATTGGAAAGGCAATGGGTATTGAGTCTAACATCCACGTGGGCGTCTATTCCTGCCTGGGAGGTCCCAACTACGAGACCATCGCCGAACTAAAGGCTCTACGCATGATGGGTGTGGATGCGGTGGGTATGTCCACTGTCCACGAGGTCATCACTGCCCGGCACTGCGACATGAAGGTCTTCGCCTTCAGCCTCATCACGAATAAGTGCGCCACCGAGTACAGCGACAAGAAGGATGAAGAGGCCAACCACGATGAGGTGAGTTAAATAAACATATTAAGTAAACGTAGTACTAATGCTTGATATTCACTCCAATTCAGGTTATGGCCGTGGCCAAGAACAGACAGAAGGCCTGCTGCGAACTGGTCTCCCGTCTCATCCGGGAAATTAACACGACATCCGCTTAGGCAGCGAACGAGGGAATAGCGTTGGATTCTAAATTTAACATTAGTTAATTCACTAGACTCGCATCTAAGACTCTCATGACATGGATAGTCCCAAAATTTACAGTATAAGCTTAGGGAATAGTCTAACTAAATTATGTAAAATAAACTAGAAATATCACAATTCCAGTTTTGAACGCATTATTTAATTTAATATACAGTTTGAAGGAATTAAACAATCTTTTGAAGCATGCTTCTGGGCTGATACTAATTATATTTGATATAAAAGAGTGCATACTTTTAAACGGATTAAGTCAAACATTAACACTTATCGGGTATCTCAACCCAATTCGAAAATCGGTCTGCCCCGATTTGTGACTCAAAATATCAGTATATTCCTAATTACAAAGCCAAAAATGATCATAACGTGGAATGTAATATCTCGTTGAGTTTGTAAGTAAATTCCCCGTCGAACTGTGTACCAGGCTCAAACCGTGATTTTTTTGAGAATTTTCGTAAATTTTTATGATATACAAAAAATGCGAAAACCGGTGTGTCCGGATATGAGGCTCGAAATATCTGTATTTTCTTCATTACAAAGCCAAAAATGGTCGGAATCTGCAATGCCATACGTCGTTAGGCTTGTTTTTCAATCTATTTTCAAAATATCCAAGTGCCATTGAAATCCGAAGAAAAAAATATTTTTTCAATTTTTCGAAAAAATGATGATGGTACCCCTTACAAAAAAGTGAAATTTGCCAAAAAATTTAATTTCCGAAAATCATTGCCATACCCACATTCGTAAGCTGCACGAAACAGTCTTTCTTTTCGTTCTGCGACTTCTTTTGACAAAGTTATAAGCATAACACTGGGGAAAAATATCGCGAATTTTACTCAAAAGTCACAATCTTGATTTTCAACCCAAAATATCAGTATTTTCTTCATTACAAAGCCAAAAATGGTCGTAATCTGTAATGCCATACGTCGTTAGGCTTGTTTTTCAGTCTATTTTCAAAATATCTAAGTGCCGTTCAAATCTGAAGAAAAAAATATTTTTTCAATTTTTCGAAAAAATGATGATGGTACCCCTTACAAAAAAGTGAAATTTGACAAAAAATTTAATTTCTGAAAATCGTTTCCATACCCACATAGAAAGTTTGTTCGGGTCGTAAGCTGCGCAAAACAGTCTTTCTTTTCATTCTGCGACTTCTTTTGACAAAGTTATAAGCATAACACTGGGGAAAAATATCGCGAATTTTACTCAAAAGTCACAATCTTGATTTTCAACCCAAAATATCAGTATTTTCTTCATTACAAAGCCAAAAATGGTCGTAATCTGTAATGCCATACGTCGTTAGGCTTGTTTTTCAGTCTATTTTCAAAATATCTAAGTGCCGTTCAAATCTGAAGAAAAAAATATTTTTTCAATTTTTCGAAAAAATGATGATGGTACCCCTTACAAAAAAGTGAAATTTGACAAAAAATTTAATTTCTGAAAATCGTTTCCATACCCACATAGAAAGTTTGCTTGGGTCGTAAGCTGCGCAAAACAGTCTTTCTTTTCATTCTGCGACTTCTTTTGACAAAGTTATAAGCATAACACTGGGGAAAAATATCGCGAATTTTACTCAAAAGTCACAATCTTGATTTTCAACCCAAAATATCAGTATTTTCTTCATTACAAAGCCAAAAATGGTCGTAATCTGTAATGCCATACGTCGTTAGGCTTGTTTTTCAGTCTATTTTCAAAATATCTAAGTGCCGTTCAAATCTGAAGAAAAAAATATTTTTTCAATTTTTCGAAAAAATTATGATGGTACCCCTTACAAAAAAGTGAAATTTGCCAAAAAATTTAATTTCTGAAAATCGTTTCCATACCCACATAGAAAGTTTGCTTGGGTCGTAAGCTGCGCAAAACAGTCTTTCTTTTCATTCTGCGACTTCTTTTGACAAAGTTATAAGCATAACACTGGGGAAAAATATCGCGAATTTTACTCAAAAGTCACAATCTTGATTTTCAACCCAAAATATCAGTATTTTCTTCATTACAAAGCCAAAAATGGTCGTAATCTGTAATGCCATACGTCGTTAGGCTTGTTTTTCAGTCTATTTTCAAAATATCCAAGTGCCGTTCAAATCTGAAGAAAAAAATATTTTTTCAATTTTTCGAAAAAATTATGATGGTACCCCTTACAAAAAAGTGAAATTTGCCAAAAAATTTAATTTCTGAAAATCGTTTCCATACCCACATAGAAAGTTTGCTTGGGTCGTAAGCTGCGCAAAACAGTCTTTCTTTTCATTCTGCGACTTCTTTTGACAAAGTTATAAGCATAACACTGGGGAAAAATATCGCGAATTTTACTCAAAAGTCACAATCTTGATTATCAACCCAAAATATCAGTATTTTCTTCATTACAAAGCCAAAAATGGTCGTAATCTGTAATGCCATACGTCGTTAGGCTTGTTTTTCAGTCTATTTTCAAAATATCTAAGTGCCGTTCAAATCTGAAGAAAAAAATATTTTTTCAATTTTTCGAAAAAATGATGATGGCACCCCTTACAAAAAAGTGAAATTTGACAAAAAATTTAATTTCCGTAAATCATTGCCATACCCACATAGGAAGTTTGCTTGGGTCGTTAGCTGCACAAAACAGTCTTTCTTTTTGTTCTGCGACGTGTTTTGACAAAGTTATAAGCATAACACTGGGGAAAAATATCGCGAATTTTACTCAAAAGTCACAATCTTGATTTTCAACCCAAAATATCAGTATTATCCTCATTACAAAGCCAAAAATGGTCGGAATCTGCAATGCCATACGTCGTTAGGCTTGTTTTTCAATCTATTTTCAAAATATTCAAGTGCCGTTCAAATCTGAAGAAAAAAATATTTTTTCAATTTTTCGAAAAAATGATGATGGTACCCCTTACAAAAAAGTGAAATTTGACAAAAAATTTAATTTCTGAAAATCGTTTCCATACCCACATAGAAAGTTTGCTTGGGTCGTAAGCTGCGCAAAACAGTCTTTCTTTTCATTCTGCGACTTCTTTTGACAAAGTTATAAGCATAACACTGGGGAAAAATATCGCGAATTTTACTCAAAAGTCACAATCTTGATTTTCAACCCAAAATATCAGTATTATCCTCATTACAAAGCCAAAAATGGTCGTAATCTGTAATGCCATACGTCGTTAGGCTTGTTTTTCAGTCTATTTTCAAAATATCCAAGTGCCGTTCAAATCTGAAGAAAAAAATATTTTTTCAATTTTTCGAAAAAATGATGATGGTACCCCTTACAAAAAAGTGAAATTTGACAAAAAATTTAATTTCTGAAAATCGTTGCCATACCCACATAGAAAGTTTGCTTGGGTCGTTAGCTGCACAAAACAATCCTCCTTATAGCTTTGTGCCTTATTTTGACAGAGATATAAGCATAATAGTGGTAAAAATTTCGCAAATTTGACTAAAAAGTTGTAATCTTGATTATATGCTCAAAATATCAGTATAATTCCCACAACATGGTTAAAAATCGTCGTACTACGGAGTTTCATACCTCGTTGAGTTCGTATTTTAAATATCAGTCGAAGGCTAGAAGATAAATTGTTTGGAATCTATTGCAAAAAGAGATGACCTTACCCTTAACGAGATCCCCAAAAAATAAATAGGCGAATAAAAATGTAAAATACAATGAAATGTTATTTAATAAAAATTAAATATAGGTTTTAACATAATAAAAACACGAATACATAGTTATAAAAATAAGAAAATAAAGCTAACATTAAAATGATTTCGAATTGAAAACAATGATATAACGAGAGAGCTCGTTGGGTTCTTTTTGGTGTTTGCAGAGATTAAACAAATGCAATTTCGTTAAATCGATAAAATATGAAATAAAATAATGGTAAAACAACTCAACTTAATATTATGTACAGGTAAAATCGAAGAACTTCAAACCGCGAACAGCTATCGAATGAAGCGAGTTGAAATTTATTGCCTTGCATCGTGCACTTGTATAATAGTCGTTACATATATAAAGGCTATGTAATATGTGTAAATAGAGAGTACATAGGGATATGCGCACGTGTGTATATGCTATACTATATAGGCCTATAGAATACGATAGTTCAGATCGGTCTGTGTTCGTTGCAAAAGCATCGCCGCCTACAAAAAGTGCTTAGAAAAGTGATTGGTTTGTGTTTTGTGATTGTGTTCAAGTCTATAAGTTTGCATTGTGCCTCTCTCCTAGAACAGCCCTCGCTCCTTCTTCAGCTTGGTCTGTTTCCAGATTGGCAGCTGCTCGAATTCCGCCCGACTACAGCCGAGAGCCGCCCGGAAGTCCTCTGCATTCAGGTAGACCTCCAGGCGGGTAGGCTCCACTCCTTCGGGCAAGGGACGTGCTTTCAGGACCTCCAACGGATACTCGGTCTGTGTCATTTGTGCCAGCATTGTGCCGATGGTTATGGAAACATCAGTTCGTCCATCCTACAAGGGAAATACGACATTAAATTATATACATTCCACTGGTTATATCATTAAAACACACCTCTTCATTGATTTCCCTCACATCCGGACGTTCTGTCCAGTCGGGAAATAGTGCCTTGAAGGCCAGGGGCTCTAGGCCTGCCCACACCACTTGGCCCTTGATGCCATGGAAGGGCTCCTTTTCGTTCTCGCCGTGCTTGGCACGCCAATAGTCGACGGCTGTCTCGAGGGCAGCGCGTCTCTCTGAGATCCAGCGATTTACTCCAGCCCGATTGTCGTTGGTGGGACTGCTTCGCTCATCGGTGTTAACTTTAAATATAATATAAATATATTAAATACTATTCATATCCACGATTAAGTTAGAGAACTTACTCTTCACATCCTCCAGGGGCCACCATCCCATCCAGAGCCACAGCTCATCGCCGTCGTCAAGCAAAAAGATCGTCGGCTGTCTTGCATTGTACAGCTGAGCCTGGCTGAAGGGATAGGGACTGCGCAGATCCTGGCAGCGCAGGGGATCGCTCAGTTCCAGAGCTTTGAAAACACCCTGGGTGCTGGAGAAGTTGAAGATCCTTATTTGGTAGTCAAACGATTTGGTGGCCTTTAGCAGGCTTCCGTAATCCTCCCTTGACTCCTTTAATCCCAAGGCTTTCTTGCATTGCTCATCCTCGGAACCCTCCTCTGTTTCAGTTAATGTGGCAGTTTCGCTGCTGAAGAGATCCTTGGGCACCTGTTTGATCAGATCCTGAGCGGCCTCTAAGGCCACAGCTCGCGTGTGAGGAGCACTCTTCGATCCATGCCAGACAATCACATTTCCCTGGCTGCCATGGATCAACAGCATCGAGGCACGGGAACGCAACTGACTGGACTGGCAGTCCACTTCCTTAATGAGGGTTTCCTCGTTGACGTTTCCCTGCAGTTGGTAGAGTCTCCACTGGCTGCGTCTCTCCAGGCACTGCTCCTTGCGTCCACGATGCTGCCACATTTGCCGGAACAGTCGGACGAAGGCTGTGCACTCATCACCCTGGGAAACCCTCATTTGAGCGCCCTTCTCCTTGTCCAGCTCCACGGTCAGCAGTGCAGCTGCTCCCTTCTCGTTGGCACTGGAATCCTGACCCTGCCAGGTGAAATACACACACCTGTCTCGCCCCACTGTGCTCCTGTTTGACACCTTGCCACTCAGCTCGCGCACCGTGACCGAGATCTGGTAGATCCATCGCACTATGTAGCTTTCAGCCGAGTAGAAGTGGCCGTAGTCCTCGCGGTTATTGGCCGCATCAAAGTTGAACTCGTGGATCTGCCACTTGTCCGTAGACTTGGTAATCACATCGAAGTGGCGCATGGTATCCGTATCATAGTAGAAATTGCCACGACCCAGATTGGACTGTTCAAGCACCAGATTTGGTTCCTGGTAGGGTTCTCCCTTGTGCAAAGCGGTTCCGTTCAGGGCGCGCACCACATGAACGCCATTCGACAGATAATCCTTCTCCAGATCCTCGCGTTCCAGCTCTGGCCAGTCGCTAAACTTTTCCTTGAACAGCACCGTCTCCATATTCTGGGTGATCTTGCCCAGAACGCACCAATCGGGACGTTTAGCCGTCCTCTTCGCATACTTGGCATTCTCCCGGCGACCCACTATGGAGGAGTAGTTCAAAGGATTCAAATAGCATTCGGCATAATCGGCCGAATCTTCAGCACCAAAGTGTTCCTGGGCCAGTCTCATGGCGGCCCTCTTGGCATCTGATGGGGCATTCTTGCCGTTCCACACGTACAACTCACTGCCAAAGTCAAAGACCAAAACCTTACGCGTGTCCAACATGTCTACCTTAGGAATGCAGCCCCAGAACTTCTCCATCGGTATGAGGGCCTCATCCTGGTACTCGTAGATCTTGTTGGTTTCGATCAGACTGCTCTCGAACACATCGTCCTCGTCCGCGTGGCCACACTCGGCTATTTCCGACTGGTCATCCTCCTTTTTGCCCAAAATCTGCCAGAACTGGCGCCACTGCCGCTCCTTCAAGTACTTGCCGTCCGTCAGGATCACCTCCTGGCTGGCTGTGCACCCGAGATCTTTGTTCTCTACGATGGCAGCGCAGATCTTCTTGCTGCGAGAGATCTCAATTACATTGGCAAATGATCCAACATAACGGAAAAGCTGTGACCCGGCGACGAGGATGAAGCAGTCGCCCCGATTCAGGGAGGTGTGTACGGGTTCCACCAATCGGGTTTGGACATGTGTGCGTCCCTTGACATGGAGCAACATCACAGGCTTGTGAGGCAGCCACATCTGCTGCAGGGGTATCGACGAGGAGCGCAGGGCTACCGACTTGAAGTCCTCAATGGAGGCTAATCCGGCTATGGCCTCTGCAGCAAGGTTGGCATTATGACCATCTATTAATGAAAGAGAACACTTAATGTGGGCCTTTAATTTGGGAGGGTGATGGGTTAACTTACATGACTCCAGCTTGAGGCGCCGCAGTTCCCGTTCAGCTATGCCTGTCCTCATTTCCGTGTACTCGGAACTAATGTCTGCACGAGCGGCCAAACTCTTGAGAGGATTGCGTGCGGCCCGCCGTCCCTTGGGACCTTGCACGTGGCGCTTGCTCACCAAACTAAGTTAAAGGGGAATTTGAACTTTGAATTTGGACTTCACTCTGTTTGAATAGAATATGAAACTTACCGCTCAGTAGGCTTGATGTCATCGAAGGCGCTGATTTCCAGCTCTACGTTTTCCTCCTTTTTCGGCTTGGAGGCGAAGAAGTTCTCGAAGGTCTCCTTGTCATCCAGACGGGGAACTTGAATCCTGGCGCCCACATTAGTGGGAGCTGCAGCACTCTTGGTATTAGCCAGTTCTTTGTTCTGCTTGGCATTCTGAGGGGAAGTGCGTTCTCCATCGGATTCGGAGCTGCTGCTGTTCGAGCGACTCAGGCTGGTGGGCGCCTCCTCCTCGGGATTCACACTCAGACTCCGGAGGGCGGTCTTGTTGGTGGCACTACTATTAGTAGTAGAGGTGACCATCATGGAGGGGCTCTTGGCCAGGCCCAGTTGCGGCTGATAGGCGCTGCGCACCTCCAGCATGGGACACTTCTTGGCCGCATCGTTGGCAGAACGTTCAAACTGAAGCTCGACGGGGGATTGGGCCTTCTTTTGCAGTCGGCCAGCGACTGTGAACTTCTTGGCATCGGTTTGCTCTGAGGGAATAAGTTGATATTTGTGAGATTTCCAGGATTTGTTATAGGTAATAGACACTTACCGATGCGCTGCTTCCAGTTCTCCGAGTTGCACTTGAGTTTGCTCAAGCGATCAGAGACCTTGCCGCCCTCCAAGCTGGTGGGTATCAGAGGCGAGGGGGGCAGTGGCTTGTCCGACAGCGAGTGGGCCAAAGATAGCGATTCCTGAAACACAAGAGTTAGACGAGATCGTGATTACGTTCACTTTCCAAAACTTAAGACCACCCACGCTCTAACCGCCAAATATGAACGCGTTTATAAAGAAATTAACAAAATTTTAATAGCCTCGAATGTATGGCTCGAATATGGTCAACAATCTCGCGGCCTTATCGGCTGGGTTGTTCCCAATCCCCATGACTCACTCTCACAAATTAAGCCAAAAGGCTTCTGTTTGTCAACAGTTTTAATGGTTAAGGTTTGAGGAAAGAGCTTTTACCAGTTTAACTTTTTCCATGCTGACGATTTAATAGCTTGTTTGTTTTTTATTAGCGATTAGCGAATTGTGATTTTCCAGCTGCTGCGTCGCATTTCCCTGGCACACCTCAAAATCTGAAGGCCTTTAGTGGCAAGTACGCTCCATTAGTGACCCGCGATGGATGCGCAAATGTACGGGCAAACGTATCGGGAACTCGACTCGAGTGGGGTTTGCTTTGCTGCCAGCCAGCACAATGCCAATCCGGCGACTGCCAATAGCCGCTTGGCTAATTGCGCACCTTTGGCGAAGCTCTAGAGCTCTAGACCCGCGAACTGGAGAGCCCGAGCGGGAGACAGTGCGAGTCATGCGATTAGATAAGGTGCACTGCCAAAATATCAGGCTGAGTACGAAGTTTACTATTTGTAGAAATTATTCATATGAAGTAGTAGTTACCTTTACTACTTACAGAAACAACGTTTCTAAGTAAAAACAAATTAAAATCCCTTTTTTTGATAGCTTAAGAAATGTGTAAAATATATCTTCAACGTTATTTTGCAGTTTTTTCCATGTTTATCTCATGTTTCCCTCTTAATGGCCGCAACAATCGTCAACCATGTTTTCATTTCTCCTGGTGTTTTGAACTCTCAGTTCCGCGGAAAGATAACAACGAATGGCTACCGATATGGGAAGCGGCGTTCTCGAGTTCGAGCTGATTTGTTTACATTCCTAAACTGTCAGTGCAAGGCAAAAACTTAATTCATGTGTTTACACGGGCATCAGCATAAGTTATGGCCCGACTGGGATACGAATATCGATAAAGAATTTAACAAACCAATCTTATCTCACCGAAACTGTGTCTTGGGGTGAAGTTCATCTTATCTTGTTTTAAGTTGTTTAATTTATGTTTGATATGCTTATGCAATGTTTAGGAATTTTTGTTTATGTTTGCCAGGCTTCGACCCGATTTCTTAACCGCCTCTTTCCTAACCTCTTCATGATGTGACTTATAATTTAGAGCTCTGATTGTCAGGCCATCCACTCGAAGAGACAAAAATAGAAACCAGCCTTGAGGACGCTCTCAACTCTTTCGCCCCGCAATGGCGCATTTCCCCTGAATTTCAGCGTGTGTCATACCAACCAAGGCACCTATCAATAAATACGAGCTGTTCGGGATGAATCATCCCATATCCGTATATACATATACACTCTCGTATAAACTGATAAAACAAATAAAAACTGGGTAAAAGCCGGGCACTAATGAACGAGGAAAACAAAGCGCGACAACAATTTGATTAACCGCTGATGTGATGGAAATTGAAAGGTAGAATTCTTCCGCTAGAGGAGAGTCGAAAAAAAGTGCCATAAGCACACATCACCCGAAAGGTATGACGCCACAGAATCTCAGCCAATAAAGGCCAATTTATAATATTTTATTGGCTGTATTTGTGCCTGTTATTTGCCTATTTGCGTCGCTTTATTGACATTTGCTTTTGGCATACTCGGAAACATATATATTCGAAACTACAGAAAATGTTAAAATTAGCATATGAACATATTCGTTTTTCCTTATTTTGGTGGAATTTGGCAACCGGTAAAACTAAACCAAGCCAAGCAAGCCACTACCAATTAGGCCAAGTTAAGGTTGCCAATTGCTATTTGGTCAAGATCAAGTGCGTGGAATGCGTGGGCATCTGGCTAATTTGTGGATAAATAAACTGGAATCGCTGCCCGGAACTGATGTATCCATTGAGCTACTTAATCTATAGTTCCATGGGTGCGGCTGCATCAACTCGAGGGTCAAAGAATGGGACTGATAAGGTCGCCAGCTGCGGATGTATTATTCTCTCTCTTACTTTTATTGCACTCACAACTTGTTGCACTGCCCAAGGTTCAATGTGCCCTGGCAGAGATCACAGATCCAACACTCCCCAGAGACCTTTCACCATAGGGTATATCTTTAAGCTCTGCCAGATTAAAAATCCGCTTCAGTGCCTTTGTTCGCCGTCAAATCAATCAAAAGCCACAGCAACGAAATTACCTCACATCACAATCATTTTGCGGTTAATACTTTTCCCATCTCGCATCTCCCAATTTATAATTAATGATCGCCGCTCCAACGTTTTGATTTTCGTCAATTTATTTGACAAATTGTGCTGCGGCCAAGACACGCTTCGATGGCTAAAGACTTGCCAAACGGACTGCCAAACAAATTAGCCAGCAGCTGTAGCGGGTAAAAGTGCAAATAGTATACGATCAACCTTGGCAGCTGTGAAAATGTTTTCCCTCTCTTCACTGAGAAGAAGGTGAGTGCTGCATTTGATACAGTTTTTATTTATAACATATACATATATTACATTTAACGATAAGTAATACTACCATACAAATTCATAGTTATTCATAAGTTAATACGTACAATCAGCATATTAGTTAGCAGTACTGTTCTCTATCAATGAGATGCTTCGCAATTACAACTTGGTTTCTGGACATTACAAACGTTTATACAGATAATCGGACTAACTAAGTACAGGCTCCTATGGCCAATTGCGACTTAAGTGAGGAGGTTCTACTTTGATTTGCTTAAGTTCCCTTCGGTTAAACAAACAAAATGCGGGATTCTATAGGAGTTTGGGGCTTGGCAAGGTCTCCAGTGGCTTTGTTCCCTGAACAAATGCCGGACTGGGAGTCTCCCTGGTGATTCCATCTGACCCGAGGGGATGGCACTGTAAAATGACCCCTATGGATGAGGCTTACACCCCTCTACTCTCCTCATCTGGTTTCGTTGATGTAGGTGGTCTCCTCCACACAGGAGGCCTGCTCTTCGTTGAGGAGATCGGTGATGGAGTAGGCGGAGAGGGGGCGTGAGAACCGCCTCTCGGAGAGTATGTCATCGATGCTGGTCACTGGCGAAAGACAGTGGCAGTCCGGACAGTCTTCCGGCTCTTCGGCACTCCTGGCGATCACCTGGAATATGTCCTCCATGCTGGTCTGCAGGCAGAAAGAAGGTGGCTTCCGTAGGAGAATTGGAGGCGAGTGCTCTGGTTCCGGGGAACTAGAGAGAGGCGAGGCCGTGGAGGGCGTGGCCGAGGTGCCACGGGTACGTCTTGACACTGGCACTGCCATGGGCTCCCAGTCGCTATGGGACGGTGACTTCTTCGAGGGCTCCTCCTCCAGCTCCTGCCAGAGGTGCATCGTCTGCTCAATGTGCTGCAGTTGAGCGGAGAGTTGACTGGCAATGCTGGTTTTCCGCGAGGCACAAGGCGTCGAGTCTCTAGATTCATCGCTGGCTCCAAACATCCTGATCTCCGGAAGCGTGACAGGTGCTACCCGGCTCACCTGGCGAGTGGTGCCAGTCTCGAACATCTGGGCAATCTTGGTCACATTACTCCGCTTTGGCGGCAACGGACTTAGCGTAGGCAACTCCACTTTGGGTGCCACCTGCTGACGCTTGGGATAGACCCGGGTTACCGGCTTCCTGGCCTTGGGTTTAACCTTTCCGACGGTCTGCTCCTGGGCCAGGCCATGACAGCAGCACAGTTCCGGGCCGTAGCAGCGATGGAACTTGTTGCGATTCGCCTCGTAATCCGCATCGGCGAAGCGTTTCATCCGGATCAGGGACTTTGGGAGCAGGGTCAGTACCACGTAGGTGACCAGAAAGTAGGGTAGCCACTCTGCATACTCCCAGGCGGCTTCCAGGTAATCCGTGTAGTCCGTCATGCTCGCTTTGTTATCACAAATTGCAATTTGATTTCGTTGGCGGGTCTTTATTAACTTTTACCTCGCTTTTCCGCTGATATCGTTTTTGCAGTTTTTTCTTTTTCGTTTTTTTTTTGTTGTCGATAAGGGCAAAGTTTTATTATGACATCACATCACTCTATAAGGGGATTGGTTAAATAATAATGGAATACTTTATTTACTTTTATGGCTGGCATTCACTCGGTAATTGCAGAACGGAACACATTGCAAAATATTTACTTTGTTTTTTTACTTATTTATTTAGCAATGTCTTCCGTGACTGGTTGGTTTCCTTTGTTCTTTTTTATATTTCACTTTTTTGCAGGTTAAAATAATGTTAACAGAAGCTTGGTTCAAGTTTTGCAATGTTTTTTACCACTTTAACTAAAAAATGTGAAATTTTATCTTCTGTTTATTTAAAAGAATTTTTAATGAGTCTTAGAACATTGCCAAAATCAATCCAAGTTATTATTTTTTATAAATTACAATCCTTAACCCGTATCAAGGATTCAGTCTCTAAACACCCACACACCTTTCGTCAAGTGGTGTCCGCTGCGTTTTGCACTTTGCGCTGCACTTTGCATTAATATTTAAAATTATATTTATAAATTCTATATCTGCATAAGTGCGTATTTTTATCTTCGTCCGACATCCGATAGCCCGAGCTTTATTTATTTATTTATTTGGTTTGCAATTTGTGTTTTTGTGAGCTGTTTCGGCTTGTTTGATTTCTTTGACGCTTTTTATATTCCGTTGCGCCTCGCGGTCGTTCTCTTCTCTTTGGCTCCTCGTTTTAAACTTAAACGTAAATGCCGCTGCGAATTCAACGATACTCTGCTCCCCAAAAACTTGACGAAAGCTGCGCGCGTCGCTCTTGGGCGACCACTCTCTCTCTTATTGGGGGACTCTCTCCTCTCTTTCGTTGAGTTTGTTGGCTTCTCGTTCGCTCTTCAAGGGAGATGTGTGTGCTGCACTTGCGCAGAATTCTGTTTGGCAATCGCGATGATGCTGTTGCTTTGTTGTTGCTGTTCTCGTTGGGTCTCCTTGGGTCAAGCAGTTTGTTATTTCTGATAAGAGCGTGCGGGTGCGAGGGAGCCAGCAGATGGGTAACTTTCATTTCAAAGAAGTTCTTTCAGCGAAGTTTTAAAAGGAGCCTTAACCCTTTGGTGGCTGGCTGTTGGGGACTTTTTAACTTAATATTTTTGACGGATTTAATATATATATATCAGCTTATAGTGTCACTGTTATTGTTATATAATTCCAACTTAATGATGACCCCTTTTATAAAATAGTATTTGATTTTGTTCTTATCTCCTGCAAAAGTCGAGTAAATATTTGCAGGGGTTTCCACATTTCCATGGCGGCCTGTGTGGTATCATCTGGGGTACTATTTGCCTGGTTTATCATATGCATACAGCTCACGTAGGTAAGTCGACCAAATATAGAACAGCTCGAACGACACGATCAGCAGCAACAACAACAACAACAACAACAGCAAGAACAACAACAGCAAGAACAACAACTGGTGCCTCTTTGTGATTTATGGGAATTAATTGCTAATTGTTGATTTTGCGCCCCTTAGAAATTTGTGTCATCTTTCTGTAAAGTTTTCCCATCGAATATAGATGTCTATATGGAGGGCATGTACATAGATGTGAAGACAGATGCGCCTTTTAGATTTTCAAACTGATTTTGTACCGAGCCAAGTGAAATGCTGTTAGCGTGGGTTCTGGTTCTGTTTTTGTTTCTGTTTCTGTTTCTGTTTCCGAATCTTTTCTACACGATTTGTAATGGCCACGGCGATTGCGGTCACTTCGGAGATTTCATTTCAAAGATTTTATTTTGACACTCGCACTTTGAGAAAGTTTCGTTCTGCAGGTGGGTGGGTATTTATATATTTATTTAAGCACACAAGTGGAATAGCCAGCCTTGAAACACTTTGCTATATTTATATTTATCTTTCTTTCTTCATAATTTCATATTTCACTTTTTCGTTAGGCCAACCAAGCGAATGCCAGCCAGCCTGAAAAAATAAATAAAAACATTGCCATTCGCTTCCTGCTGCATTCGACAGTTTATGCAACTCAGGAAACCACTTCGCATTACTTTTTATGCAACTCGCAACGGGCCCCTAGTTTTATTTTTAGTTTGCCGCTTATCAATTTTAATGTCAATTGAAACCGGCAGCGGGCAATAATGCATACTAATAGCAATAGCAACAAAGTCAGCCGAATCGCTCCGAGAGCTTTGAAAATCACACTCAAACTGCCACGCTGCGAAGTGCGAACCGCTCGCTTCCAAGTCGCGATTCAAACTGCCTCGTAAATTTATGAACTGACGAAGTCAGGGATCGGATTCCTACAAAAGCCGGGTCTTCGAGAGAAGCGAACGAGGCTCCGATGACGAGCACAGAGCAAGCACTGCGAAGACGTCAGCTAAGGAGGCTTTTTAAATTAAACTAAGCGTAATAATCAAGATCATTGTGGGCATGCCACAGAAAAGGGTAAACTAAAAAGGGGCGAATTGTATTTGCAACTTAGGAATGCAGAAGGGGTGCAAGTCCTCTAGTAACTTGATCTTAGAAGAGGTGTAAAAGCAATAATCTTTATATTTCGCTTAAAATGTGTGAGCTACGCCCTTTCTTTGACACTTCTTCTACCAAAACTCAAAATGATCATCTTGATGCACACACATTTTGTGCACACTTTCGTGACTGGAATGTGACCACAAAAAAGGGACAGCGAAATTTTTTGGGCTGGGTCCGCATCTGGCCAAGCTGATGAATCACCCAGAGAAGATGGCAGCCAAGGAGGCCTAATGCGAAAACGTACGAGTAGTTGGTCGGACTAAAAATAAATCAAATGCAAGTTCAACAGCATGAAACACAATGATGTAATTGTCTAAAAATTCAATAACAAAGAACTAAGAAAATAGGTAGAGGAACAAGAGCAATGAAACCAGGCGAAAAGCCACCTTATCTCGGAAAGTAATGAATCACTCACAGAAGCAATAAAAGTAATCAGCAATAAGCAGGCATTCTTGCAGCTTGTAGATACATCGGCCAAATACAGATACAGATAGAGAGATATATAAATACAGAGGCAGACGGAGAAAACAGAGGGCAGCAGTTGATTTTAGAAGTTTATGAACAGCTTGGGCTACTGCTGCTTTTTTTTGTGCTGCTCTTGTTGTCACTGCCGAGAGGGCATGGCATGGACTAATGAACAAGCACAGCAGCAACATCCAATGCAACTGCAACTGCAACAATGATAATGAAGTAGACAGAGGAGCCCAGCCAAAGCTGCAAGTATATCAAATTTACAAAACAATTTACAACAGCATGAGGCGAGGCCTGCAGCTGGAAGATGAGCACGTTCAAGATCTAGACAGAGATCAAATGCTATGGACCAGACGTAGCCCCTAAAAACAACAACAACTTCTGCCAGTTAGAAGCGGTCCAAAGGCAACCTTCGTTCGCCTCCTTCTTCTGTCTTTATTTTTTCACTTTGTAATTGTTGTTACATTTAGGAAAAAACTTTTATAGCTAAGAGTTGCCAACGAAGTTTTCATATAACCAGAAAGGCCCTTTAAGGCCCAAACTCTTAAACTTCAAAAGTTTTTAAAGTATTTTTTCTGAGTGTGTGGTCTTGCTGCTGCATTTGCTGTTGCTTTTTCAGATGTTGCTGCTGCCACAGCCCACAAGGCAAGTTTAGAAAATTATGGCAAAATGGAAGTTGGCAGCCGACTCGAAATCGCAAAGGCAGGAGCAGAAAAACCCAACTCTGTCTATATATTTTTAGCTGCCCTGTTGGAACTGTAACTCCTGGAAGCTGGATGCTGGTGTGCCCTTCATTATTATGCGCATTTTCATTTGCTTAGCTCGTTGGCTGGCTGACTCTCTGCGATCGTGGCCTGATAAATTGTGCTAAATTACAAAAGATTTCTTTTTGCCTTGACACACGCTCGGGGACTGCGTCAAACCAACTGCGCCGGGCAGACTAATTGCGCATACGCCACCTGGGATGGCTGCCAAACAGCGCATGAATACGAGTGTCTCGCGTCCATCAGAGCAGAGAAAACAGAAATTCATCTTAATTATTAATAAATTGTACTATAATGGGCGTCAAGTGTCGTGCGGCGGAAAATGAGGGTAGAACTCTAGGGGGGTCTGTAGAAGAAATGGGCACTCCCTCTTAGAGAATGTATCTTTTCTAAATATATGCTCTGCTCATTGACCTTGTCCCACTGTAGTGTCGTCAAGAACAGAGAGAATAATTTTATGATAGTTTTGAGAATTCTAAACATCTCTGTAATATTTCCACAGATGTATTGAGATTAAAAGTATTTCAAATAAGAATTTAAATTAGATTCTTATTTTGTGTAAAGGTAGCTGGTCTCATGCAGCACCCAATAGTTTCTCTCAGTGCCCCAAACCACCAAGAAAATAGGAAACAACCCGAAACAGTAACAGCTGTAGCAACAATAACAATAACAAAGGCGACAGCACTTGAAAACTCATTTGGCCTGAGAGTGGGGAACATAATATGCATTTTGTTTGGTGTGTGGGTCAGAAGATCGCTCTGACACGATTTCCTCACAATTTCTCTCTCCCAACCGAAGATGCAATGAGTATATATGTGTAAACTCGTATAAGGAGGCGGAGTAGCAGTAATTAAGTCTGATTACTTTGGGGATTACTTTCAGGAAAGGCGCGAAAAGGGCGGGCGAGGTCTGCCCGCATAATTATGGACCAGAAGTAATCGTTTAATAGAAAGAGAGTTCACTAAACTTTATGTCTCGCCAAAACCTAGCGGCAATTTCGAATGGATCGGCTAATTGACAGTCCAAACGGAATTGGATTTTAAACCAAGTCTTGGCTATACCAGCCGCAAAGTGCCCATGCCCATAAATAATAACCCAAAAGCAGGCGAAACTCTTGGATGGCTAAGTGAAAACAAAACACTAGCCGAACTTGCACTTGCCCCCAAAAAGTTCGAAAAAGTTCGTTTTCATTTGGAAGTCGAGTGGCGCACTTGCTGCCGGAAAGTATGCAACACCTATTGTGTAAATGACACGTACATAGTTTACTTGATGTATACGTAATGTAAAATTGTCAAGTAAAGTAAAAAATTTTTTTGTGGGTAACGGAAAGGGATTGTCGAAAACGATTTAAAATAAATATGAAACAAATATTGGCTATATTAATAATGTATAAATAACGAAAAAATAACATAAAGTTAAACTAAATAATATAAATATATTTTCCTGGTATGTAGGTCAAGCAAGTAAAGAATAATGGCCTTCTTAGTCTGATGAGCCATACCAATTAATCATTATGAAAATATACGCAACACCTTATCGCTCCACTCACTCCTCCGATTGCGTCACACACCCCAGGTGGGATGTAAGTCATACACATGATCCAGATAACACCCGCATCCCACCGCGATCGGTATCACTTGCACTTTTCGCATTATTATGTCATTGCCGTCAGGTTTAACGCTCAGTTGGCATTGCACGAACAACGGGCGCATTGCAGAAATTGCAGAGAAAAGTGCAACGTTAATAAACAAAACGATTAGCAATAAGGAAACCATTTTCACGCAATTGCGATCGAGAGCGAGATCGAGATCGGATTCGTTGCGGTCCACGGAAGACCGCATGTGTTGCAGCTTAACCTATCTTTCAGATACTCTATATATATATATATATATGCCCCATACACCATACACATACAAGATTCAAGATACAAGTGCTGATTTACTCACGTTTACGAAGTTTTCGCGGTGCACATCGTCGACTTCGTCGCGCTTCGAGATGCGCTTCTTCCAGTCGTCCTCGCCACTCTTGTGCAGCGCCGCCAAACGCTCCGCGATGGAGCCGGTCTTCGCGATCACCAAAGACCGCTGATCGGGGCCCATGACCTGGATAAATGGATAATGGATGGTTGGGATCAGCTCACACGTGCATCGGTTTAATTGACACTGGGTCAGGTACAATTAATGGCGGTTCTGAATCGAAATGACTCAAGGTTTCGATTCGGCTTATCAATATAGTTATAAAGCTTTTACAACTGTTGTAGACTTTTAAATATCAATTTGATTAACAAAAATTTAAATAAATTTTAATTTCTCCTAAGGAATTGTTTGATATTCATTAACCTTCCATGATAAACCGAACCCTTCTGCAATCTTTCTATAGATAAACCCCTGCTCACCTCTGTGGATGATCGTTGGACGCCTTGAAGAAACTGTGGCAGAGCCGTTGGGTTCGATGAGTCTCCCGAAGCTTCTTCCTGCTCCTGAGCGGACTCCTTCTGCTTATCAGGCGATTCCTTAGTGGAGGATGTGCTGCTGCTGCTGGTCTCCTCCTCCTTGGCTACATGACGCAACTTCACGAAGCCGCCGCCAAGGGGTAGGGGTGGTAGCTGGGGGCCAAGGCCGATGGGTGCTGAGATGCCCGAGTGACTTTTGCTTTTCGCAACGAGATTGCTGCTATTGCTGCAACAGAAACAGAAACAGATGATAAAGCCCGTTAAAAGTGTGCATAAAGTGTGGCAATTAAGGTGCGTATCCATGAGATACAAGATAAAGTGCTTCGAGTGCAGATAGGAGAGTGCATGCAGGAATTACTGAAAACGTGCGTTTTCCTCAATGGGCCCCATTGCAATCCGTTCCCATTTTCCCCCATCTTAATAGGAAACTCGTGACATGGCATTTTCCTGGCCACTAATGAGCGAGCCGAGCTGCCTTATTTGTACGTCCCCCTTCGAATAGAATGCACAGGAAGCGATCGACAGACGGTCTGCCTTTTATTTCTGCTGAGATTGTTTTTTCGCTCTCCTCTCGAACAAAGCCAAAGCCAACTTTCTCCTTTAATAGGGGACCATCCATGGCCATTTATTAGGCGCTGGGCAGCGATTTTCCTCATAGATGGCAATGGAATTTTCTTCTGCAAATGGTCGCCGGATCGGTTATTGTTATGGCTGGGTCTCATTTTTATTGGCCGTCAGTTGTCGACGTTAACAAACCGCGGGCGGTTAATGAGACAAGTTGATTGCTTGCCTTGGGGGATTATCCTCTAAGCTATTGAGTTTCCAAGTACCAACTTACATGTTGGATGCTGGAAATTGTTGGGGGTACAAATTGCTGCATTAATCACAGAATTGCAAGGGAAACTGTTCTTGTGTTGGTAAATAAACTTCAGTTCAAACAATCTTTTCTGAACAGTTCATTGAGTTCTAAGATCAATCTTTGCTTCATGAAAATGGCATACAATTCCAATGGAATCTTTTGATCTATTGCATAACGTTATTCCCCGCACATTCCATTCAGCACTTCCATTGATCAGAAGTGGGTCTTTGTCTAGGCAAAACACGATTCTATCTGTATCGAATGGAGACCGCCTTGTAGATTCGCTGTTTTTCTTTTGTGAGCGAACCGTTAAGAACGACTCGAAAGATTTTTCATAAACTTCTGACCAGACACAGACACTTATTAGTCACCGGACATGTTTCGGTACATTTTGATTTCTGGATTCTGAGCGCCTTGAGATATATCTCGCAGCGTGAGTCAAACGTCCGATGGAAAAACAAAACCCCAACGAAATGGGCCCGGCATTTATATATGTCACGGCTTATTCGGAACGACAGGCGGCATTAAGAAACCGCTAGGAGCCAGAACTTGTTTGGATTTCGATTTGGCAATGGCAATGTGAAAAAGGAAAAACGAAGCGCACTTACAATTTGGGAAATCACAGCACGTGTTTTTCTCAGTCGAAGAAGAGGCACTGGAAAAGCGAATGAAAAGCGGACTGCACGCGACGAGCGAACAAAGACGAATGAGCAGGCAACCTATACTGGCTCCCAAGACACTTAGGTACACTAGGCGGTATACCATCTGAATCTCGGTCCCGGCCAAGCTCAGCACCTGCGAACCGACGGCAGGTAAACAAACAGCCAAACTGCTGACAGCTAAATTGCATATTAATTTGGAAAATTTTTGACAGACCCGCGACAGGCAAACGCTGTCCAGGTGCGGGGTTTTCGGACCTCATTTACCTGCGACATCCGACACATTTTGTCCACTGTTTGCTGATCGCGTTTAAATCGGTTGAAGAGTAGCGTGACAGCTATGTAAGCTGTGAGTTCTAGCACCTTAAATCTGAGTACTTCAAAGCAGGAAAGGAATGAATTAGCGGATATAGTAAGACTGAGAGTTCATATCTCTTGTAATAAAATCCATAAAAAACACTAATTGACAGCTTTAATCAGAAAAGGATTAAAACTACATAAACTGAGCATCAGAATCTAATTAAAATAAATCAATAGCTCTGAAACTGCAAATAAAACTCAAACTGGAATTCAATTACCATGCATAACCACATGGAAAATGGCATTGCTAAAGTTCAAAGTTTAGCCACAATTGGTGAGACGTGAAATCAAAGTAAAAGCTTGGCTAATGGAATAATGGCAGAAATTGCAGACGCGGTGGAGTGAGAGTGGTTGGGGATTGGGATTGGGGATTATCTCTGGACAGGAGTCATAGGTCAGAGGGCAGACACGCGAATGGCTCCTCCTGGGCTTGAACTTCTACCAACGTTTCCTCAACCGATGGCTATAGTTTTAATGCAGTAATTGCCCTTTGGAAAGCGTTTAGCAAGCAATTAGTTTGAGTGGCGAACTCCTGGGGTGCGGCCAATGGCTAAGACACACCCAGAAATATAAAACTACAGCCAAAACCACTACCAGTTTCCCCCAACACTGACAGCCAAAGAGGGCTCCGTTTTAGAGATGTTTCTGCATATAATTAGAAGCCATCCCAAGGATCGTTGATCATCCATCGACTGAGTAACTCTCTGGCGTTTTGTAATTGAATTACCGAGTGCGGTAATTAAAATTTCTTTTGGCCAAAAGTGAATGCGAAACGAGAGTGAGACTGAGACTGAGACTGAGAGTGATCACGCGATCAGTTTGGCAATGCGGCAGCGGTTAATGGGGACTTAATGATATAACAAAATGAATTGTTTTATAAACTATTTGGCGCGGCATAAACAATTGCACGCCATCAGGCCTTGGCTTTATGAGGCCGTCACACGACATCATCGCAGCGGATCTAATGGAGTTGTAAACAGAAAGATTCACTCAAGGTGTTGGAAATGTATGCAAAAATATCATCATAAATTATCCGAAGAATACTTGCCAGCCGCACTTTCGTCATCGATGCCAACTCTCGGTTTCTAGAGGGTCTCTCTGGCATTGTCTCTATGTCAAGTGCTCGCTGCACGCTGCTCAGTGCTCTGAGATATAAGATTTAACAGCAATAATAAATCAACGGCCCTGGCAACGGTTTGAGCGGTATTCAACAAGGTTACAGCCGCTGTTGGGGCCGAATAAGTTAAATAATAATATCTCGCAGCTAATAATAATAAAACATGATATATTCCCAACAGAAGCTTCAGACTTGACGGCAAACCGCAAATATATATCAGGTAAACTCATCAAGCGGGATCGTGTAGCAGCACTCAGAGAAATTACATATAATTCTAATACAGAGGTGGAAAAGCAAGCGCAAGATTTACTCCTCTTTTTTGCAAGTGCAGCCACATGAAGCTCAGGTGAATTGCCGGTAATGAATCGCGTCATATAAATCACCAGGTAAGCAGAAATTGACTTATGCAATGAATTATGGCAGAAAGCGAATGGGATTCGCAAAAAGCCAAGTCCCAAGAGCAGCGAAATTTGGCAGTTGAAAGAGTGACAATTACCCACGAAGGCGCCAAGCGAGTGGATGTGGAGAGCAATGAAAGGTAATGAAGATTCCGGACAATGAGCGGAGATCGCGAAGATCTCAGAGATCCAAGATCCCATAGTTGGCCAGATTCAAGTTCGCTTCGGGTTGACTTTCCCACGCCGCAGTTTAACCGCTTTTCAAGTCGGCGGAGAGCAGTTGAATGCGGCGGCGGTAATGATGCAAAATTACAACGTCAACATGGGCTTACAGCTCTGGCGCTTTTTGCCTGGCTGCTTTGCTCTTTTGTCTGGCCATTCGACATTTCATTAGGCCGACCCCGCGGAAGGTCTAAAAATAGTTACCAACTCTCGGGCTTTTGTTCAGCTTTTTTTGTTTCTTTTTGCTCAGCTGAAGATCTTGCTTAATTGTTTAGCTGGGCTAAAAGCTAAAATTTCACCTCAAGTTCAAGGTGTCGCGCATTTTTGGTCGCTTTGTGAATTCGAAATTTGGCAATGGTTAACCCTAACCTCAGCAAAAACTTTGCCACTTTACCTAAAGATTTTCATTCTTTTTAGTTTTTAGCTTTTTGGGGTTAAACCTGGCAACATTTTGTTCTGCAACTTTGTTGATAGACTTTCGCAATCAGCTGACTTTTGTTTTCCACGAGCAGGCGCAGTATCCCAGACACGTGCTGCTTGTCAGCAGCAACCCTCCAGTGAGTAGCCCCTCTCACCACCCACAAGCCCACACGAATCCCATCCCATTGAGGGATCCCCAGACATGTTATTCTTTCGGTTTGCCGGTTGCCGGGGTAACACCGAAAATGCGTCAAAACAAAACCCAGCTCTTTGTCCGATGTCGTTGGCTATGGATGGGGTGTTAAATCAGGGGAAGATTGGGTGGTTTTTGGGAGTTTGGGAGCCACTGGTGAATGGCAGTTGAATGACTCCGTGTTTTGACTGCAGCGGAAGCAGGAAACATGCGTTTTTTGGGCAGGCTAAACAAAGGAGCTAAGTCGCAGCTGGTTAAGATCTGCCAGACTCGGATGCAGCTAGGTTTATATCCAATAATGGGCGGGGAATATCCATTTTCCATGGGGTTGCACTACGTGCCTTTCACGGCCATTTCCACGTTTGGCAGATGGGCGTGCACTTATTGATTGAGTTTTCCTACACTTCCCCCGAACTCCGGGACCCGCATAATTACCTCCATTACTCTCCACCATGAAATTCTTCCGCTTTCTGCTTCAGTTTCCCTGGGAATAACGTGAGTCAACGCTTTTTAGCTGGTCTACAATTTGGCCGACTGTTTTACCAGCGTTTGCTTTTCTTTCTGCTTATATCTGTTACCTTTTATTCTACGGAAGATATTCTACTTATATATATATATATACTTCATGATGTGACGCTCCCATTTACCGTTCCGCTGGCGTCAGAGGAACAGCGTCATCGTCGTCATGGAAAAGGTAAACTTCTTTCGGCGTTTCGACGTTTTGATAACTTGTTTTGGTTTCTGGCCAGGCCCACGACCATGTCGGCGGAACATGTGCGGATGTCATCCGAGTGCCTTAATTGACCGCCAAGTGAATGTACTTGCTACGACTGTCTCCGGTGTCTCGAGCTGTTCCCGCCCATCTCCTCGGCCCAGAAGACCCGTACCCACATCCCGGGTCGCCTACTTCAACTCCAATGAACTCTGCCGCCAAGTTCAACGAGTTAACCGGGAACAACGGCAACCAGAACTACGAGCAATCGCAGTCCATTCAACTGGGGACAGCGTGCAGTCAGAAAAAAAGGAGTTTCATACATCTACAATATCATTAACCCATTGTTTTTATGTTTATGAAAATGAATCAAAGATTCATGGCGTTTAGTGGGTTTTCATACTTATAAATTAGTTAAATTCCAGAACAAATTTTTCTTTATTTTATAAATTTTCCAAATAAAAAACATTCTAAGTGGAGGGCTTGGACTTGGTGGCTTGTCAAGTGTCTTGTTCTGCTCATTGGAAGATGCTACCGTATCCTGGGTGCCCTCCACCTTAACCAAGTCGCGGATCTGCTATTTTCGAGGGCTTTGTCTGGCGCATAAATTTACCTTTTAATTGCTAGACACGGAGGCAGTGCGAGCCTATAACTTGATCATTGCTACAAATTCCAACTGAATGCTATTGCTTGGAATTAAAATGCTTGGTAATTGCAGCTGGTTTACAAACCATAAATAAGCGAATTCAAAAACGAGTCGCATTTTAATTAGCCAACAATATATTAGAAATGCAAGTACAGTGATCAAATGAATAGAAAAATGCAACTGAAATAGTAAACCAGTTTCCGCAAAGGTTTCTAGCTTTACTAGCTATTCAGATTAGAACTACGCTTTCAGCACACACTTACACCTGCTTTAAGACATCTTTTAAAAGCTTAAAACATTCAGTAATAATGCCATTTATTTCACTCAATCGATCGTTCACTGTTTGCTCATTTTACACTTTCAATATCAGCACTTGCTTATTCGGCATGGCCACTTCGACTATCTGGCAGAACGAAAAGCTCGCCGTATATCGCTCTGAATGCAAAACACACTCGCCGAGTTGCAACACTCGGACTCATAATCAAAATACAACTCATATGTTTCATCGCAAACCAGTTCCCTGGAGAGGCATTAACTGAGAGCGCGAGAATCCGATTCTACAGACAATTTTTAGTTTTGAAAACTGAAATTGCGCTTGGCTGGTCAAGCGGCCGGTTATCATCGCTCGTCCCCAGCAGTTGATCTACAAATGCGGCGGCGTCAACAACGCAAAAAGTGAAACCACATTAAAACGTCAAACTCTGAACCGATTCGGGGCTGATCCCAGGCTTTAATCGCCGCCAAAAAGGTCACCGACGACAACAGCAGTAGTCAAAATGTTGCTGGCCCTGATCACTGGGGCACTGATCTTGCTCCTGACCTGGGACTTTGGACGCAAGCTCCAGCGAGTTAATGCCTTTAAGAAGTCCCAGATTCCTGGTCCAATATCGATTCCCATCCTAGGATGCGGACTACAGGCCCTCCACTTGGGAGCAGAGAGTGAGTTTTAAACTGTGGAAAACTTTCCTTTAAAAGATAAAATCTGATATGAACTTTGCTTTTGCAGATATTATTAGCTGGGTGGGTGAGAAGTTCGACCAATATGGCAAGACTTTTCGCTTTTGGATCTTGGGAGAGTCCCTGATCTACACAAAGGATCTAAAGTACTTCGAGACCATCTTGGGCAGTACCACTCTCCTGGAAAAGGGACAACTCTACCAGTTTCTGCGACCCTTTCTAAACGATGGGCTACTTGTTAGCACGGGTAGGAAGTGGCATGCCAGGAGGAAGATTTTCACCCATGCCTTCCACTTCAAGGTTCTAGAACATTATGTGGAGATAATGGATCGGAATAGCGGAATAATGGTGGAGCACCTCAGGAAGGTGGCCGATGGTAAGACGCCGGTGGACATGCTGAAATATGTGTCTCTGGCCGCTCTTGACGTGATAACAGGTAAGTCATTGTTCTGCTAATTTCGGATATTTTACAACCGCAATTATAATAAATAAGATAAAAAACTCTCTCTCACTGTAATTCTGAGAATCAGATTTGAGTCTATAAATTTTTTTAATTTATATAACTCATTTATCAAAAGTCTGGAATTGTTAAATGTGGCTGTTAAGATTATAGGAGCCAGATAACTATTAGAAATTACTTTTAAATTGTAATAACTAACGACCTTAATTACTCAAATGCTGATTATTAGTATGCAACTTAGCGCCATTTTATAAATATATGAACTACACCCTTAATCGCTTATACTAGCGTATTGATTTATTCACCTGTTTCGCAGAGGCCGCCATGGGTGTCCAGGTGAATGCCCAGAACGACCCCGATTTCCCCTACGTAAAGGCACTCAAGAGGTGGGTTATTCTAATAAACAAAGTTCCTGCCAGCACCTGTTCTCACTCCCCGTTTCCATAGTGTGGTCTATATCCAACCGGATCGAATGTTCAAGTTCTCGCAGCGCTACAACTGGCTATTCCCACTGGCGGCCCCTTTGCTCCACCGGCGGCTTCTGAGCGATATCCGCGTCATGCACGACTTCACCGACAAGGTCATTCGCGAGCGGCGAGAGACTGTGAGGCGGGCGAAGGCCGACGGCACCTACCGACCGCTGAGTAGGTGCACTGAATCAGCAGGAAATGATATATCGCAGCTGACTATTACCTAATCCCTTGCAGGTCTGGGCGATGACGAGATCGGTCGCAAGTCGCAAATGGCTCTACTGGACATCCTGCTGCAGTCGACCATCAACAATGAGCCCCTTACCGATGCCGACATTCGCGAGGAGGTGGACACCTTCATGTTCGAGGGCGATGACACCACCAGCAGTGGAGTATCTCATGCCCTCTATGCCATTGCCAGGCATCCGAAGGTTCAGAGCCGTATCTACGAGGAGTTGCAGCAGGTTCTGGGCCCAGATCCCTTCGCTCCAGTGACGCAGTCCCAGATGCAGGACCTTAAGTACCTAGAGTGCGTGATCAAGGAGACAATGCGGCTGTATCCTCCTGTTCCTGCTATTGGCCGACACACCCAGAAGGAGATTCAGATTGGATCTAAGACCATCCCAGCCAATACAAGCATTTACCTAGTGCTCTACTTTGCCCATCGAGATCCGGACTACTTCCCAGATCCTCTCAGTTTCAAGCCTGAACGATTTTTGGACGGTGAGGGGGAGAGCCATGGTACCTTTGCCTACGTGCCCTTCAGCGCAGGACCCAAGAACTGCATTGGTCAGAAGTTTGCCGTTCTGGAAATGAAGTCTCTAATCAGCAAGGTCCTCAGGTTCTACGAACTGCTTCCCCTTGGCGAGGAGGTCCAGCCAATGATGAACTTCATCTTGCGCTCAACTTCGGGCATTAACGTGGGTCTTAGGCCCAGAAAGTCATAAAACGTTTGATATTGTTAAAAGGTTTCGGTTAAATGTAACTGGGATTTTCGTGATATATAGCAGTAAGACATTTTTATCTAATCATTAAGTACTTAAAATCCATTTAATGTTGAAAATAAAAACTTTTTGGGAAAAATCTGGAGTAATTATGATATATAGTAAGAAAGTACATACTTAATCCTAAACTAAACCAAAACACACACCTAATTTATTACGGATTTGGTCACTGACTACGACTACTTGCTTAGTATATTTACATTATAACCCGATCTGTTGCCTAAAAATAACTGCTTACTCACCCACCCTACATTACAACCCATTGAGCGCATTGCGACTCACACAGCTTAGCCACCGAGATTGTACCAATATTTGCGGTGATTATAAAATTAGGCCCCCAAACAAAAGGTATTTGAACAGCGGATGAGCGTGGCGCGCCATAAAGAATCCCGAGCTTATCAACGTAAAATACGGTATTTACCTTGGACCAATATTAACCAGCTACTTAGGAAGCGTTCACACCGTGGAAAGCTATTCCCTGATATTTTGAAAGTCTCTCACCAACGTCATAAAGAATACGACTTGTGGCTGTAAATGAAGAGAGAATATGCTTTTCCTAGAAGCTGTAAATTTTCAGCAATCCCAATTCAATCAGACACGGAGTCCGGTCTATGGTTTATCATTGGCCAAAAGATAAAGAGCCAAGGCAATAGAAAAGTTTTGCAAAAACAGATAAGAGCATCGCGAAAGGAAATCACATAACAGGCTTATCACAGCGACTGTCAACCGCATCGGGTCTGCATATAAAAGAGCCCTGCGCCGGAGGTAGTGCGTCAAAAGAGCTTCTGTCTCCGGTTCTGCTTAGTATCTGCAATGTGCCCCGAGATGTCTGTAAAAATTCTAGCCTCGTTGGCTGTGATCGGTTTGGTGGCCTTGTCTCCTGCAGAAGGAATCAGCAGGCCTCTGCCTCCGTACGTGGGTCTGCCCACAGCAGATGGACTCACGCAGCTGTTCCTCAAGTCGCGGACTACGCAACGCGATCCCTTCGCCTCGGTGGCGTGTTTCGGTGGCTATATCGGTGAATCCAACCTGATCGCGGAAGACTACAGTGGAAATTACAGCACTTGCTTCAATACCTCGAGAGTCGCAAGGGAGAGCATTGATAACGATTTCAAGATCACTCGCAGGACAATCGAGCTCTCCTCGGAGAGAGTGTGCCATGAGCTCAGTGTCTGCAATAAAAAGAACTCCACCCTCGAATCCTTCAGGTGTCACGCCGATGTGGTAAGTATTTTATCTTAAACCTCGGATTAAGTAATCCAGTTTTCATGGGGTGGTGTACCCGTGGAACTCCTGATTCCCATTTTGGATACTTTAATAATAATCCCTACCATCTCAGGGCTCCAACAACACTGTCTCTACGTATAGCATCTCAGGAAATGCCTCCGAGTCGTACAACTTGTATGAGGAGCGTTACCGCGTGGTGGAACTGCAGCTTGGACAGTGCAACCAAAGGGCGGAGCGAAACTACGTGGAGGCAACTGCCAGGAACTACAACTATCTGCAGGCCTGTTTAGATGGTCGGGTTCAGCCTAAACCAATGCCCAAGCCCACAACCACGACCTCCACGACGACCACCACCACCACCACCACAACCACGGAGGCACCCACCGAGGCACCAACCACCACTGAGACCCCTTTAAACGTAGACGATCAGTTCAAGCAGCTTTTGAATTTGTTAAACTAATTCCCACTAAAATGTATAAGTTTCTGCAGAAGCAGCTCACTAATTAAAGAAAGGGCAGTCCTTAAGCAAACAATCCTTGGGCAAACATTGCCGCAACTTGAAATTCAACCCTCTGGCAAACGAATTAACCCTGTGAAAGGGGTTGAAGGATTGAGTTTCGCAAATGGCAAAAAAAAGGAGGAATTAGCAAAAATATTTGGACAGGAAAAGGGGAAGTTGTTGCCATTTCCTTATGCCAGTGAAAGGGGCTCTTAAAGTAAATGTTTAAAATATAAATAAATGCTTACTTAATAGCTTAATAGTTAATATTAGAGCACATCTTAACAAGATAGATTGATCATAGTAAATGACCATAACTTTGGATCGTGATTAATGAGCCCCAAAAAGAAAGGCTGCCCAAGCCAGCTCGAGGCTCTTCCGTTTTCGACACCTCGAGACGGAAACTCTTTGATTAATGATCCCATATAGAGAAATTATTAAAGCCAATAATGAGCGAGATACGAAATAATTCAACGAGGTCTTGAGATCGAATAGATAGACAAAGTCAAAATTATTATGCCATTTATGGCAATGAAAATCAAAGTGGAAGAGCCCAGACCTGACCAAAATTGGAGATTGGCCATAAGCCATTGAAGCTGGCCGCTCGTTGGTGCCAATCCCCATGCCCCTACCAATCCCCATGCCCCTGCCCCTTTTTACCAATCAAAAGAACACGTTTGGCTTTTATGGCTTTCGGGTTTTTGTTTTTTGTCTTTTTGTTTGTTGCTTCTTTCCCTTTTAAGTCGATGGCCAAGTCGGCTTTTCTCTGTGAATGCCTTCTAGGGCTTGGAAAGAACGAGATTCAGGGGAAAACAAAGACATGGCCAAAGACCATAGACCCCGTAGACTGTAGAAACACCTGTTGGCCGTAGAGCAAGTGGCTCATTTATTAGCACAATTGGCGTGGCATTCGACGCTAGTTCGTTTTTTATGGCCCGACCAGAATCCAGGAGTAGCATGCCACTTATGTGCAATTCCCGGAATGCGATTACGTCAATCTGGATGCGTTTTATTGCAGACGAATGGGGATTGGCCATGTCTTAGGCTGGTTTCTAATTTATTTCTGCTGCGAAACTAATTAAAATGCAACTTGTAGTTGGGTGTTTACGACGTGGGTTCAGTTAATTGCAGGTGGAAAGCCCAAGGAATGTGAAGGGGAGTGCTCGATGGCCAGGCGATAAAGATTTTAATTTATAAGTAGTAAATCCACCACACAGCCTTGGAAAATTTCTTCAATTACCAGGTTTCGGTTTCTACTGTAGTTAATTCATTTTAGCACTCCATAAAAACTTAATTGATTTGGCCACACGGCAGTCATTACTCAACTCCAGGAACTCAACTCCCCACACCGGCTTTCATCTGATATGGCTGATGTTGAAATGCGAGGAATTAATCACCTACTGCAGAACTCTATTCCTAACCCACATTGACGGCACGATTTACGCGCATCATTGAGTCTCAGCTGAGACTCTGGCTCTAGCCCACTCAAGCATGCCAAAAATCTGAAAAAAAACTGAACAAAAATCTGAGGCTTGTCAACGTTATGCATAACCAAACGAAACGAGTTTTCCTCTCTGCCGAAATCGTGAACTTTTCATTTTCATTGGGGCACAGACAGAAAATTGGGGAAATGTGTTAATGCAACGTGAGAGCGCCGGTGAAAAATGATCAATAAATATTTGCGAATGTTTTGCATAAATAAATGAAAATTGCTTATGCCAAAACGTAGCAGGCTGACAGCCTGGCCAATTAAGGCAAAAGTTGCAAGTGCGATGGCGGCATCGTTGTCGCCAAAAACAAAAGCCAAGAAAATATGTGGCAGCTTGTTAAGAGAGGCAACGAACAAAGTGCATCCTGTATTTTTAATGGGAATTTAATTTCCTAAGAGAAAAGTGTGGAGATTCAAAAACTATAAAAAGTGAAAGGATATAAAAGTAAAATTTGTATTTTATAGATCTTTCTCTAAATGGTTTTCTTATTAGCATATAGTAACTCAGGTATTATTCTGCTCATTAACTGCATATACCCTTCGTATCCATACGTTTTGCAGGGTATTTAACCAACTGTACGTAAAACTAGTTTGCCTGGAGCTGAAAAAACCAACAACTGAAAGCGCAGAAAAGGAAATCGTCGCCCGTCGTCATCGAAGTGGTTGCTGTTGTTGTTGTTGCTTTTGGTGCCTTTTAAGGCTTTTTGGCGTGTTGCGCATGCGCCGTGTATGCTATCAATTTCAGCGCCCCTGTATGGGTGTATGTGTGTATAGGAGTGTCGGTGTATTCGGGTCATTCGCATTTTCACATTTTAAGGCGTAAGTTGTTTTTGGTTTTGCATGTTGATTTTCTTAAGATTTCTGCCTTGGAGCCTGGGCCTGCACTTGCTGCCATTTGCTGTTGCAAGTTGCCCGTTGCAAGTTGCAACTTTTACTGTCAGTGAACAGAGCCTCGCCCCGCCTCCTTCGCCTGTCTTGGCCAAGTTTGTGTGGCCGCCTGTTAATGGGTAATGGCATGTTGTTGCTGCCACGATGAAGCGATTTTTGCTTTGTTTGTTACTTAATTGCGCCAAAGTCATTAATAATCGATTAACAGTATAAGGCGAGAGGATGCTGGCTGATGATGATGGGAGATGGATGCTGGAAGCTGGAAGCTGGGTGCTTCCAGTCGCAGGAAACAGGGGAAGGAAATGCTCAGAGCTTCCTTTCGATCGAGAGAGAGAGTGAGTCATTTAGCAAATTGCCAGCCATCCATCATCGCTTTAGCCAATAAAAATCCTCTTCTGATCTTAATACTTTAAGCCTGGATAACTCTCAAATAACAATTTCCGTTATTGACTTTAATAACACACACTAAATCGACATTCTGATGTGGTTCGGTTTATGGAAGTCCGCCTGTTAGTGTCACCTGTCCCGCTTTTCGCGTAGAAGCCTAAGCAGCAAGCAACAGGTGTATAATTGATTGACTGACAAGAGACAGTCGACAGCCAAGATGGGATGATTGGGGGTCTGGGAGTTGGATGGGAGCTGCAGCTCCAGCTGAGATGGAGATGGAAATGGCAACGCACTGACAGCCAGGGCCAAACAATGCAATTCAATATATCAAAGGAAAACAGCTCATTGTTTGTCACTCTGTCGCCCAGAAATCGATAGTACGCGATAGCCAGGGGGTTGGTTAAGGGAAATGTTGGCCTGAATACTTGCATTTCTAGGAAGCTGCCCAGACAGCAGAGTACGTACAAAGGAAATTGAATAACCAAGCACACGAAGATGCCCAGCCGAAGACCAAGGACTGAAATAATAAATGCCCAATGATGATATCTATGACATGGCAGACAGACAAAGGAGCCAAACCAGCAGGCCCAGCACAAAGAGCTGCTTTCAGCTGCCGTAAGATGGAGTCTGGAATCATGAGGAGGTGGTCGTGGGCTGTGGGGACGAGGCAGCTCCACTTTGCATTCGATGGAAGCTCCACATGGAGAAATTCAAGATTGTTTTTAGGTTTATAATAATCCAATGAATGGGACTTGGTGAAAATAAGTTTTGAGATTTACATAGTATCTCATATCTCTGCTTATATTCTCTGTAGATTAACATGACTTTTCGCATCAATAAATCTTCTAATTAATCATGGAATAAATTCCCAAATATTTCTCCAAGTATGAGGACCAGCTGCAGCTGCAGATTTATGAGCGCTTCTCAGACAACAAAAGTAGCAAATACGAGTCCAAGTTGCAGGCCAGAACTTTGTCCGAAATGAGTTCATTGTACGGGGGCGCGAAGGAGGAGGTGATGGTGGTTAAACCGTCATCCTCCTGCCCTCCATGAATGCCTCAGCTAATGAGTTGTCAACTGGCCTGATGAGTTTTATTTGCCAGGCAGACAAACATTGCATGCAAATAGTAGAAAAATGAGAGCCCTGGGGATTTGCATATTATCCTGTCGGGTTTGTTGACTTCGCGAGTGTCAAAGTCAATGTCAGAAAAACTCCGTCTGCATAGCTGGTGAAGTGACAGTTTAAGTGCATCTATTAAAGCTCCAGCCCCCTAAAAAATATGTAGCCACAAAACGGCGACTCACGTTTCCGCTTCTGGCCATAAAAATAACCGACTCGGCTAGATTTATGGCCAAGACTAGTGGCGTCCAAGCATAAAAGGATGCGATGTGCTGGCCAAAAATGAGTCATAAAATATTCACTAACTGGCACTAGTGTCTGCCACTTGCATTTCCAGCTGGGTAGAGCGAATCGAGGTGCTTTTTATTATTGTACTTTAAGTCTTTTTAATCCCCCAGAGAATCCCATTAATGACTAACAAATTATAGATTCCTAATATCAAATGCCAAAAGCTACAGACATTAAAATGCTATTAATGAGTGTAATAAATAGAATTCCAATTCCCCTCCAGAATCTGCTTAAGTCCACAGCTTTTCAAAGCGAATCTATCGCTTCCAACAGCTGGCAATTAGTTCTCATTAAAATCATATTAAGTCAGCCATATCGACTAAGTCAATTTTGAAATTTCATCATTTCCTGCCGAATGGTTTTTCTAGTTTGCTTTTTGTTTCTTTTTTTTAAGTAATTCAATTCCAGTTGCGAAAACTTCAAGTTTTTGGAGCACATGTGTGGGGAAGGGGAGCCATGAGCCATAAATTAGCCGGCTGAAAAACAGTGGTGGCCTGTGGGCTAAGATATTTAATGAGCTGCGAGTGGGATGTGTTTCATAATGCTCTCAATCAAGGGTTTATCTCCCCACTAAGTCCAATTAAACGATAGTTGGACAATCAACGCCACAGGCCAATTTTCCCCCTTGAAAACACTTGCCCCGACAAATCGAGGAAGCGGAGCAGTAACGGCCAGCAGTAGATACATTTTCCGATCCCCAAGATACAGATACACGGCAACAGCTGTGCAAACCGTAACCAAAAAAGCAGCTAAGTAAGCAAAGTATAAACCCAAAAAGAAAGAGTCAATGTACTAGAGTCAAAAGATTGTGCAATATTTTAGAGGCAAACGCGATTGGGTATCAGAAATATCAGAAATCTGTGGAAGGACCAGGACCCATAAAACATCCCCAGACGCTTACAACTTCATCCAGTGATGCTGCTGTTGCACAGATTTTGTCCAATAAAAATAATATTTATAGCCCCGCAGTGGGACCAGAACAAACCGAAGCGAAAACATAATTAATGGATCAGTGCCTCGGAATTATGTGAGTTTAATGGTTGTGTAATCTGGAAATGCATTTCCCAGCACGCCGCTCAGCATCGAATAACATGCCCCTAAATGGAAATGTTTCTCCACTTGACGGGGGAATATCGGCTGGGAATGGGTATATGGCTATGGGATCGGATCAGCCACAAAGCTTTCCGTTTGATAATGCATCATTCGATCACGCGGCGGCGACGGCGGTGGCGGTGGCGGCATTTTTCAATTAGTGCCAGCCGATTCAAAGCCACCGATCTGCCATGTGCACTCAAACAAATGGGTTTTCCACATAAGTTTATAAAAATAGATCTTTTGGTTTAAATAAGTTAAGGATCTCAATAGATTTTCAATGATGAAGTATGTCTCCTAGAAGTTATGAAACAAAAATGAAATCTATAAGCCTGCTTAATTCCTATCTTTTCGATGAATTTACCTATATTTATATTTTGATTATTGTTTTTGTGTGCAGGGCGAGGCCCTTAGTTTTTCCACTGAATGGCTTCTCCCGCAGAACTTTGTTTCAATCCGCCTCGTTTATTTGCTTTGGCTCATTAGCGTTTGGACTCACGTTTCTCCTATTCCGACGTGATCGGGCATTGCTGCTATCTCTATTCCCCGGCTATCTGCCCTCTCTTTCTCTGCTTTTGGGTGATGTGCATTTGGTTTTTGGGGTATTGTTAGTGCACATCCCAACACTTTCCCATGTGGCAGAGTGAAATTAACCCCGAGTGCCACTTGACTATCATAAAAATCCGAAGCGATAAGCAGCACTCGGCTGTCTATTTATGGCCAATCGTTGGTTTTGTTTACAAATGAGCACTTTGCTATAAAAACGGAAATCGAAGAAGCAACTTCTTATCAAGGTAGGCTATATAGAAATATTTTCCAAGTAAAGAAACCTAGTTTACATTAGTTAAGTTTAAAGTAAACAAGGAACATATTACTCCATTGAAATACCAAACAAAGTTGATAGGAACAGTAAAAGTGCCTTTAAAATTATAAATATTTTCCCAGCTCTTCTCGTGTACTTAGAATTCTACCTAATGCTTAGCAATTGTTGCCGAACAAACAGGTATCCATTGCTTTGTAGTAGCCACCACTTTGAGTAGCCAGCAGTACTTGCCAGTTTAATAATCAAAGCTGCTGAAATATGAGACTAATCAGATTCCCTGGAAGCATTGACTGCACTGTTTTCCATGTCGATTAACCAGTACTTAATTGGCTCTGGGCAGACACGCTGCCTGGCAAATAAAACAAATTGCAAACTAATTTCGTTTTCATTTCTCGCCCATCAAATGGCACCGCCAAAAGAAATTCGCCACGGGCCAAAAGGAAAGAAAATCAAAGATAAAAAAGCAAAATAAAAGCGCAAATTATGCAAATTCATTGAAAACGAAAGGCATTCTCCGGCACAGCTTAAGCATTGGATTCGCTCCGCATTTGATTATTCATTAGCCATGATTTTTCAGATTACCTGCTTCGAGATGGAGCTTGAGTTATGCAATAAAACTGAGAAATGTTTGAATAAACAAATATAAAAATTGAACATAAATTGCCGAAGCTGGAGGTTAAACTATTTTCATTTTGATTGATTTTGTTTTTGAACGTGCCTGCCTCTTGGATACTTATGCAAATGCTGGCCCAAATCGGGGACCTTGAACCCAAAGACAATAGACATTAAACACTTGATAATTAAAATCGACTAAATCAACAAAATTTGGCTAAAATTGCTCAAGCGCGTCGGACTTTGAAAACTGGAAAATAAGAAGGCAAAAAATAAAAACCAAAACAAAACCGTCGGCTGCAAACTTTTTTCATACCACTCAGAGCGACAGAGAGAGAAAAACAATACAGATTGGGATTCCAAGTGCAAGCAAACACGAAAGCAACAACAATGTCTGGACAAGAAGCTTAACAGCAACAACAACAAGATTTTTCATAAAATTCCCTGAGCTGATACACTAAAAGAAATGTCTAGCTCAATGGGGATACATAAAACTGTATTTAATATTCAATTCAAAACAAATATTATATTTCTATTAGCGACTTAGAGATCTACACTAAATCATAATCTTATATATGTATGAGAATTATTAAATAGTTTTTCATTTAAGACCCCCAATTTTTATCAGTGTATTAGAGTCTGCAGATTTTCGGTGAATCAGCAAAATGTTTGAATGGAAACAAAACAACCATTTTACAGTTTTATTTCGGCTGTTTTGCTGCAGGTAAGACAAGGAGAGCAGGAGTGAGAGAGAGACCGAGCCAGGCAGATGGAACCCTTGGCGAAAACAACAAAACTAAAGGAACTGCAGTCTGGTTTTCAGTGGAAACCTCTTTAATTTGAACAAACCTTTAAGAGAGCGCAATAAAAGCCGCTGTTCCGACGCAATTTGCACTTGCACTTTCAATTGCCAGCAATTGTTTAATTGAGAACTGAATGTTCTTCAATCCTCTGCTTGCTTTGAGTAATCACGAAGTATCTTCAGATTTGCATATTTCAATTTGCCAAAAGACGAGTTTTTACAACCGGCACAAAATGCGCGCGCGATTGCAATAGGTAAACAACAAATAAAACACGTATTCGCACTTAAAACCTTATAAAATCGTTGTATATTCACTAGAAAAATATGTATATTCGAGTATTATTGTGCGGCACTAATATCCATAAATATTGTTGATATGTTTTTATAAACAAAAATCACGCCAGAACGTCGTCTACACGCGCGTCTCAAACAGCTGGCACTTTTTTTAAAATTAAACTGACAGCAAAATGCGGGGGTTGCTTTTATAGCAAACAGAGCCGACGAACATGTTTGAAACTGTGGTGAAAAGAACAGCTGTTCGAACAAGTTTACAGAACCACCAAAGGCCGTAAGAGTAGCGTGCGCAAGAAGAGCACAGCTAGTCAAGGGTTGCATTTAAAAATTCAGCGCTTATTTATGTTATTATTATTAATTGTTACCCTTTTAAAATAAGAAGGACCGCTTATAACAGGAACTGGTTGGTTTATAAATTAAATTACTTTTAATTGAAACTAGACCGGTACTAGTACTACTTTACTGCCAAATAATAATTTGTTTACTTCCTTTGTTTTCACCACACTTCGAACGTAAAACCAAAATGTTCGAAGCGATTTTCACCTTAGTGGCATCACTATGATATCGATATATACGCATACGAACACAGCGGCATCTTTAAATTCGAAGCGTATATGGCAGCACTGTAAAATGGCATCAGGTAGCTCTGGCATTTCAAATTTTTGGCGCCAAATCGAAATCGTACCTAAATTTAACTTCTCTTCAAATATATATTCAGCGGGGATATTGGGAATATACAAATTTAGTTCCATGCTGTTATTAAACAATCAGTTAGTAGAGAATAACAGTTAGTGGCCAAACAAAACTACAGTTAAATAGGATTTTCGTCAACTTTATTAATGTTCCTTTTTATTTACTCGTTTCTTAGTTTTTCTTTTGCTCTTTGGCATCACGTAAAAATATATTGTGGCATAATATATCGTTTTGAACAAATTGTCGATAAAATATATTTGTTTTTTTTTTGTGTATATATCAGTTAATTAGTTTTTGCACAAACGGTAGTAAGCAATGCAAGTTTAAACTTAATTTCTAATTTTTTACAAAATGTTTCGGTCGAAGAAGCTTGTAAAAGGGTTTCGGTTGCAGTGGCTGTTGCGGCAATATCGGTTGCTGTTGCTGCTGTATCTGCAATACATGCTGATGCTGCTGCTGTGGATGCTGCTGTGGCCGCTGGCTAACTGGCCAGTAATAGCTCCTTGCCACTGTCTGCACTCTGATTAGGAATCTTTTACGTTCGAGTGCGGGAAAATTGGTTTAATCAAAAGCAAAAGTCTTTTGGGCAAACGAACACAAGACGTGGAGAATGCGGAGAGGAGACATTTACAAATGTTTGATACAAAACAGTGAACTTCTAACTAATGTAAATTCCATCTCAACTTGCATAAATTGTAAATATTTAGTTTTACTTTTGGGAACCAGTCTTGAGAAGCACACACATTTGATGCATGTATGATGCGCTGTCTAAACGTTATGTATATACGAGTATAAAACCATGATGTGGGAGATCGTTGCACCCTGACAAATCTCTCGGGGATTGATTAGTAGTTTGGGGTTAGTGCACTAACACACGGAGCACAGGACTCAGATGCTGGACCAGGACCAGGACTCACCCATCTGGCTGATGTGGCTGCTGCTGCTGCTGCTGCGACTGCTGTTGCTGTTGCTGCTGCCGGCGACGTCTGGCCACAGCGCTATTTTTGATAATAGCCTCGATCTCGCGACCCCCCGAACTCTCGCCCTCCGATGCCGAGGCACAATTCCCGGCTGCATCTTGACTGATCACCGGTCGAGGTTGTCCCAAGGAGGAGAGATTCCTCACCAGACTTACGGCATCATCATGCCTAGGTGTGGTGTTCTCCTTGGACACATTCCTCAGTATCTGAGCTAAATTCCTTTGCGGATTCTCCGTCTCATCACTAGCTCCTCCTCGAGTGGCATCTGCCGTGGTAGCAGACTTACGGAGATTGGAAACTGTGGCATGAGTGGAGCGTTTGAGGCGGTTCTTCAGCTCGGCATTGAGATCCACCGGCATTAGGCCGCGTCCTATGCCCAGCATAGGTTTTCCGCTCTTAAGAATGCTCTTAAGGGGTTCGTTGGTGGGCTTTCCTGTAAAGTAAGATATTTACATTGATTAATTTACATTCAAGTTGACAAATAATGAGGTTTATTTCCATGAAGTCAATAAAAATGCAGCAAATCAATCCAAAGGCAGGCAAAAAACCAAACATGCTCAGCCACAGCTTGGGTGCAAAACGTGAGAAGCTCAGAGAAGGGCCAAAAACATGCTTCAGTACTTACTCAGCTTTAGAACTTTCCCCTCAAGATGTTGATCTCGCTTTCTTTAGCACATTTTCTTGGATTTATTTTCGTGGTTTAACAACTTCCATTAATTAAATATTACAATAATAATAATAATAAGTGTAATACATACTCATCGTAATATAATTCCGTTTAAGGTACAATTCGTTTTAAATGTAAATAAAAAGTAGTGGTTTATGTATAAATAAGCACAAAAGCAGTTTCGCATAATAATAATATATAGGATATAATGGTTAACTGGAAGGTTTTTCTGCTGGCCAGACATATATAGTATACGAGCCGTTGGGAATAAAACTGTCTCTTGGTTTAAATACAATGCCTAACGTTTATGGTTTTTCTTTTTATTACTTCGTTTTCGTTTGACTTTTCTGTGGAAATTTCGTTTCGTTCTATTTGTTTTCTTTATTGGGATTGCTACGACAGACTACTACAATAGTGAATAGTTTGGAAAATGGGATCGGGCGCATCTATCACACTGAGCGCAGGACCCACACGAAGAGAGCGAAATTTTTGTGTTCGAAAATGAAAAGAGGTCGGCGTTGGGGGGTTAATGAAAAATTGGGAAATTTTGAATGCTTGGCCAAAATAGACAATTTTTCAGCCCAGTAATTCGCCGTACAACAGCTTGAAGTCCTTGCCAGCGGCTAAGAGCTCATCGGGGGTAACCTCAATATCCTCGTAACTGGAAATGGCGGCCTTCCGCCGGTTGATGGGTGAGTGTGCTCTCTTGGGACTTGGCATGGCTGTGGGACTGGTGCAGCCGCTGGAATAGTGATCCATGGACAGGGGTCGCGTCCTCTTCAGCATCTCTCGGCGTTTGGAAACTACAGTAGTATTAGCTGGCAGTCGAACATGCGCATTGGTGGCCTCCACTTGGCTGGGTGGCAGCGATTTCGTCTTCAACAAGGTGGTCGTGGTGTTGAAGCTCTCCTTAACGCCAAAATACTTGGCAAAGCGGTCGTCCACATTGGATGACCGCGATCCCACGGCTGCGGTGGTGACATCGGTGGTGTGACGCCGATTGACCGGCTGTGGCTGTGCCTGCTGTTGTTGCACCAGTCTGTTGATCTTCCGGCGCATCTCTGACACTTTTGGCGGAGCTCGATCCTCATCTAGCTGCTGCTGCTGTTGCTGGTGCGGCTCTTGCTGCGGCTGCTGATTCTCCTGCTGGTTGGATGCGCAGTTCTCCTTGCCCGAATCCGAGCCACTGTCGCTGGTTCCATTCGATAGCTTCTCGGGACTTACTTTCTCCTGCTGCTTTTCTATAAAAGGCGACTTCACCTTGCCGATGCGCATATTAACAAGAACTTTCATTTTGTCGGTTTCCAGTTTCGGAGAGATTCTGTTGGTACCCCCCAGGCTTATACTGATGCCTTTGTTGCTGTTGTATCGGCGATCATTAAGGAAGTTATCGGGCAGGACTAATCTTCCGATAGACCGAACCTTTACTTGCATATAAGAGCCGGCTGGCGGATCTGTGGCGGACCTGGTCAGGTTATGGATGCCATTGTGCAAGGGCGACTCCCTCAGGAAGGGATCCTTTCTTAGTTTAACTTCCTCTTGATCCACCTGATCCTTGGTCTCCTCCTGATCGGGCTCAGTAATGCTCTCCAGCGTCAGACTAGATGGTTCCTTTTCGTTCGGAATCGGTGAGTAATCCATGGGCGTGGGCGTCACACTGGCACTGCTGGCGGTGGTGCTGCTCCTGGGCGTAGTGCGATCGATGGGCGGACTCCTTGAGTAACTGCTTGTGCGACTCCGGAATCTTCCACTACCGCCTCCACCGCTCTCGCAGAGATTACTGAAGAAGGCCAGTCGCTCGGCCAGCGACAGAGATGAGGGTTCTATATGGGATTTTGGTTTTAGAGATTAGTTTTTGCTAGCTTGTTATTCCTTGTGGCTTTGGCACCACTTACGCATTGCATTTGCTCAGTCTGCTCGGAGTCGCTACTCTGAATCTTATTTAAATTTAACTACTTATTGCTGCTGCTGCTGTGGTTGCTTGTGGTTTCTTTGAGATGCGACGACTTACAAGACTCGAAGACCAACTGCGCATTCGGTTATATCCGCTGCTGCCCACACTCGCTGCGATAATGTTTCCTATACACCATGCCCTATCATTTCCCAGCTGCCTTTATTAAGCACTAAACAAACTGACCGACCATCACAAAAGATGCTTTTAAACCCCCCGCGCAACGCTGAATCATAGAAAGTTTGTCTGGCGTTTATAAAGCAATTTCTATAATTTGCCACTTTTTTGCACTGGCTTTGTCCACTATATATATCTATATACATATTCGTATATATATCAGACATCTTTCGTCTTCTCGATTTTCATTTTCATTTGTAACTTTCGATATTGGTTCTTCCACGACACTTTCAATTGATATGAACTTTCTTTGTAAGCGTTTGAGTGGATTTTGATGTGTGGGTTTAACTGATAAATGGCTGGCAAAGAAATTATGGAAAATTTTGTAAGCTTGCTTTGGATTCTTGGCAGTAAACTAGAACTATAATCAGACAAGTCTGTAACCGACTAATGATATATAAACAGTCTTTTAATGCTTTCATAATTTGTTTATACTGAAAATTAATCTTTGTTGGGAAAATCTAACAAACTAATTTAATGTTTCCACTCATTACAGCTTTTATTTCGATTTAATCACTAATTATTTCTTTGTCTGCTTATTTGAAACCACTCTGTATGCTAATTACATACACTTTGTTGTCGTCTATCAAGGTCAACGTCATTCCGCCTTATCGGTAATAAATTTTACAACCTTTTTTCGGGCGAAACCACAAAGAACGAGCACGCTCCCATCTCTGGGCCATAAAACCCAAACGATAAGTGATAAAAGAAGGTTACCATTAGCTTCACCCACTTACCAAGTGGGTCAGGAGTTGCTATGGATCGCTTTCAAGGAAGACAGAAGACCCATTGGGGAGGCGTTAGAAATGTTGTAGGCGAAAGCCGTGAAATTATGAACGCTTAATTAACTGCGCTAAAGACCTCGATCGGGATGTATGGCAAAATGAATAAATATGGAGAAGAAAATCACGCACGTCTTAAATTACATAATAATAATCAACATACGGTTGTGGCGGAGAATAAGTTGTTATTAGTTTTTTTTTTTATCATGCGGCAAGAGTAACAAACAACAACAACAACTATAATTCAATAAAACAAACAGCAACAACAATAACAAGGAGTTAATTCAGTTGTTAGAAAACTCAAAACTGGCGAAAAACAATGAAAAAGTCAGAAATGAAAAACCGATGAACGCACATGCATGGAAAACCAAATTAGTGTATGATTTTGTTTTTGCAGTTTTTCCATTTCTTTACTTTTATTGCGCAATTTGGCGTGGCTGCATTTTTTTGCATTTCGAATTCGAAAACTGATTTGTTCGACTTAATTATAAATTAGTCTCGGGCGAGCCAATAAAAACTATTAATATATATATAAAATTAAGAAATCACAGACACAGTAAGCAACAACAATAAATATTTCTTATATGAACTTTAAATGTTTTTTTCATTCCAAATGAGCATCGTGCAAATCAAACAAAAACGTAAGAATGGCAAAGGCTGAGAGAAGGTTGAGAGAAACTAGACACTAGTTTAGTGATCCAGCTAGCAACCTTCTCTCTTGGAAAACCCAAAACTATAACTATCTTTAGTTCCTTACCAAATTCCGCATCTGTGGTGGCATTTGGCGTGGACAGCTCATCGCTTTGCATGGAGTTGTCGGCCGCATTTGAGGACACTTCCGCCGACGCAGGTGGAGATTGACGGGATGCTCCTGAAATGTATGAATTGACTGAGTTTGTGCTCTGGAAAATGGGCTTGATAAACTTCTGTCTGAACATATCTCTATATCTCTATGTATCTATGTGTCCATTTATCTATGTATCTATCTATCTATCTTGTCCCGCCTAGCAGTTAAGCCAAATAAAATCTCATTTCTAGTACTATGGGAAAAACGGACTAGGAAATGTTCGGTGTTATCTGGTGTTCTACTAGTAAAAGACAACTGTTTGACATTATTCTCAAGGGGGGTATAGTTATTATTAGATGATACGATTTGATACGGTTTCGATTGCGAAAGCCTTCTAATCTGGAGTGACCTGAGCCATATATGCACCTCCTCTGCCCCACCAAATGGTCACAAATGTTACCCAACACTCAAGCCTCAATTAGTGGCTGATTGCCGGAGACGGCGACTTTCCAGAGTGCGGGTGAGTGGTGTGAGGCAAGTGACATACATTTTACAGCTTATTAACTTGGCCAACAACCATGAGAGGCTTGCAGCAACACCAAAGCTAATGGCAAAATCTGGCAAACACTCTGGCAAAAGCGTCACCCACTGACCAGCAGCTGATTTAACTAATTAATTTTTGGAAAAGGTTTATGAGGGTTTTCCCAGGGATCTTGAAAGGTACTAACTTAATATTTAAGTGTTTGCTTAGGAGTTATCTATAGTTGGTTGTAAACTAATATTACGGCTGCTTAAGTACTCGTTATCTAAATATGTGCTTAAGTCTGGGATTGTTTATTATCTTTAGAAACTAACTAAAAATGGATTTTCTTACTAATGAGTTAGTTTACAACCTTATTTGTTGGTTTTTTCTGAATTTAAAGTTTAACTTAATATATTTTTAGATACTTTACACATTTGCAATAAAAGAGTTAAGTCAAAACACTATCTAAAGATCCTAAGAATAGCCTCCAAAACCATTTCGTTAACATATTTCTCACCCAAGACATTAGTACCGCTAGTTCCCTAGAAAAGTCTGGTGACCCTAGCCCAGCTCTAGCTCTAATCTGCTCCCATTCTGGCCGCTGTGGTCTTGGCCTTCTTGTTACGCTCGGTTTGCGACATGGCCCAACCAAGTTCGCCGTGCCAGCAGCGGTTCAACTTAGCGGTCGCTGCCTGTCTGCTTTATTGCTTCATGCTAGTTTCTGCAAAGCCAGCGAATGGCGATGATAATAGTGGTGGCAGATGAATGGGATCCCGACCTACAAACCCATCGAGACCTTTGCTTTGGTACTAACCCGTGGCCCGTTGATTGCGCGACTGCTCCTGCAATTGCTGGAACATACTGGCCCTGGCTCGAACGCTGTTGCTCCGCGTCAGGCCACTTGGTGGTGTTGTGGTGGATGCGGCGGTGGTTGAGGTTGTGTTTGCAGATGCGGAAGCGGCTGTCTCATCGCTCAGCGACTGGATGGCCGAATCCTCTTCCAAGGCGGACATCTCGAAGATGTGCTCACTGTCCGTGCCGATGGATAGGGTTAGCTGCTCACTGAGATTGACGCTGTCGTTGGCCGAATTTTGTCGTGCCAACAGCGAGGATTGCGGTGATGAGGATGGACCACTACCAGTAGCCTGACTGGCTAGGTGGACAACTCGGGGCGATTGTAGTGGTTGGGTGGAGCTGCGGGCCAGGCGGAAGGAGGTTCCCGCTCCTGAGTTCGTCGACGAGGATAGCAGCAGTGGGGCAGGCACGTGGCTTAGTGGTTGTCCTGTAATTGGGGAAATCAGAGGAGGCTGCGGTGCGTGGGTCAAGCGAATGTCCAGCGGTTTGGTGGGCTTGAAGGCCGACGAGGCCGAGATGTCGAAGGGCGCGGAGTTGGCTTTGAAGCTGCAAAGGAGAGATAAAAGCCTTGATTAATACACACCAATAAACAGCACAAAAATGGGTTATCAATATCTTATTTTTGTGGCATTTTAATAATAATAATATTTGAATATAAAAGATAAGTCTTAGGAAACATGAATATACGACATGGTTGAGTGTTTGGATCAAAACCGATTTGACATTGGACTGAGAAACTCTGATTTCCCCTTCGCAGAAATTTACATAACAACGGGCCTAAATACACTATGAAACTCTTTGTGGGCCTTCATCTCTATAATTCTCTCTGTCGGACAACAATACTCGGACATAATTATAGGCAATTTTGGCCAACTTAATTATGTTTTGGTGGTGGTGAAACTTTGGCGCTGGCGGCTGATGCTTTTGTTGATTCGCTTAGAGCCTCCGGGGGAGCGAAGGTAAAAGTTTACAAGCCACCGACGTTGGCCAAAAGAATTAGCCAAAACGTTTCGCTAGCAGCGAAAGGTAATTGAATTGATGATTAGAAATTGAAAATCAAAATATATATACTATATACAGCTGTGGTGTATATTTTTCCACACAGACTCTCTGCATAAACTCACAAGTTTATCACCCTCTAAAAAGCCTCTTGAAATGAATTTCCTTCTATATTTAGTCTCTCACCTACAACTTGTTCGACTCTTCAGTTTTTCCGATATTTGTTTTGTTTATCAGGCCCATTGCCCATCCTCCATGCCAGCCGCTCATTCGAGCAGCGAATGTTAAAAAGAGGAAGCGGAAAATAACAAAAAAAAGAACAAAAAAATAACTAAAAATATACAAAAACTTAAATGCAGCAACTAAGCTAATTGGATTTGGGGGAAGGCAAGGGGGGAAGAGTCCCTGAGAACATTCTGACAAGTCCAACATTTTCGACACTCGAAAAACATGATTAGCAACAACAGTTGGCAAGAATTATAAAAAATATACAGCTGTAGATTTCCAATGATCTAATCAAAGACAGAGAAGAGCGGGGAGGCAGGGAGTAGAATATATAAAAAACAGCTCTCGATTCTGCCAACTTAGTGGGTACACAAACCAGATAAAGCCATTTGGCGGAATATTTAACAGCCAAAAAACACGCATTTAAACCGATTTTATGCAGACATTGGCATTGCGATTTGGCCATATATATAATTTAAGCAATTTTCGCAAATTTGGCACAATTTGTAGCACTTGAAAATTGGAATTTTCATTCGTTTGGCTGCGCAAGTGCACTTTTCATGGAATATATTTTTAGCACATTACGAAATGAATATATCGCTTGTATATAGGACTATATATACGAGTAAGACCGCAAAAACATTCGCATTTTCATGCCACATTTCACTGTGTTTCCAAGGGGTTTTCCTATAATTTACTACCTTTTCCAATTCACACGCGGTATGCGGGCCCGTCTACCGGCAACTGGTTAAGAATTTCCAAAGGGAACGTGGTTTTCCTCTACGGACACTAAACACACACACACACACGCACACACTATAGGTAATATATACTATCTGCTCCTCCACCTGATAAGGCACCTGAAGACCAAAAACGACCGAAAGACCGAACCGGGCAGCGATTTAGTTGATAAATTTATCAGTTAGTTTCGATTTCTTTCCACTCTATTCACTATTTATTCTCGTATTTGTCAACTTGAGGAAAACTATAATTTTCCTTTGGTATTTGTTTTTGTTTTTGTGTGCTTTACTTTACGTAAAATATAATTTATATTTCAGCGCTGCTGCTGCTACTGGCGGATACGTGAAAATTGAAAAAGCGATCGCGAGCAACTGAGCGCAAAAATTGTACAAACAAAACGCCGAGCAGAAGAGCGTCGGCAGAGAAGAATTGGGTGGCTCGGTGGTGCGGCGGTGGGGCTGCGGTGCTCTGCCTCTGTCGACGTCGCTCTGTCGCTGGCAAATCTAAATTATTTTCAGCTTTGTTTTCTTGCCTTTTTTTATTGCCCGTGCTTTAAATTTATTTTGGTATGGTATTTTCCTTCTTTTCCGCCGTCTGGCTGGGAAATGTCTTCGTTGGCTTTTCTTTTGCGGTGGCTTTTCTTTGACTCTTTCGTTTGGTGAAAGAGAAACTTTCAGAGTGCAAAGAGCAGGCTAAATGGCTAATTCAAAATTCAAGGAAATAATAAAGCAAATGTGGAAACTTTAAGGCGGTTTTTTATAATAAATGTTCCCATTTTCCATTATTTTATTTTCTTCATGTAAAAGCTCAAACTGCAAGTTAAACTACTCCGAAAGTCCACTACTTTTCCCTCTCATTTTCATTTCAAATTTCGCTCTTGGCCAGAATTTGTGAATGGACCAGCAAAGGTGTGACTCGTCTGAGCTATTTATAGAACTTATAGACTCGCAAGTTTGGGAAATCTCAATGGGCACATAAAATAATTATTTCGAACGTAGGAAACCTGCTAAGATTTCCCCTTAAAGTTCCTACGTTGACACATTTACGATTGGGCTATTAAACGGATTCTTCTTCTTCTTTTGGCCATAAAGTTATGGGGAGGCAAAGTCGCTTTTGCGGTTGACTAACTGTTATTTTTTCTCTTTGGTTATCTTATCGGGCGATTAGGAAAGATACAGCATAACTTCGAATTGGACATATATGGGCATTATCGATTTAATCGGCACATGTCAGCGTTCACTTTTTTCTAATGGTCGTGGATTTAAGTTTTCCTTCTTTTATTTTTACCGTTTTCTGATATACGCCTCAAACATTTTTTCGCTTTGACGTCGCTGCAGCAACAACATGGAACGTTAGTCGCCCTTCTAGGGGGATCCTCCTTGTCCAGGGATAGAAAAGATAGGAAAGTATCTGTAACTGAGCGAACGCGTTCGCCTGCTGCAACCTACTGAATGCAACTGGCGAATATGGGCAGCATAAATTTCACGGCACAAAGCGTCGGCAAAGTGCAAAAGATATTGACAATACCGTTCGCTGAATGCAAATGTGACAGCCAGCGAGAGTGTGAAGAAAACAAAAGCCTCGCAGAACAACCTGGCTTATATTGTTATTGTTGGTTGATTTTTGTTTGTTTGTTGGTTTTTTTTTAGGGAAGGGAAGAGAAGGGAGTGCCAGAACAAAAGCCACCCAAAAAAAAAAAAGTAAAGAACCAGCAAAACACTCACATAAAATGCTGACATAAAAACACAGTTAAACAAGAACTGGCAAGTTTGTGGCGCTGTGGCAGGGGAAGTGGAAGTGGAAGAGGTGCTCCCATCTTCTAGTCGAAATTCTAAAATGCTTTCAGCGATTCAGCGAAGAAACTAGGTTTACGAGCCCGACATTGGCCAATTCGCAATTCGCAGAAATTACCCATCCCCAGGTGAGAATTTGTGGCCAACAAGTTAAGACCAACTAATTGTTTGGGAATGAAGTCTGGATGGTACTTGATGGGAGTCGATTTAGCTGCGGTTCTCAAAGAAGGAAGATTATCTAAGCCGTAATTGGGATTCTTATATTTGCTCACCTCTAAGAGGTAGGAATAAATCATCTCTATATTTCGAAAAGCTTTGCAACCCTGTTGAGCATATTTCTCCAAAGACCCCGCCCGCCTTTCATACTCGTAAAACCAATCGACCTTCTATAATCGCCCGACCATTACTAACCTTTATTTGTATTTCGCGCACTCTCGGGTTCTTGTTGGCCTCAATAGTGCGCAGGTAATTAGGCAAGCAATAAGCTGCTTAAGAGACACCAGCAAGCCAACCCCAGTCAGGCCAATAAAAAATAAAAGTCGTCGAAGAAAAGTGAATTATATGACAGCGAATCGAATTGAGGTCAGGCCGTGTGGAGGATTTCATTGGCTTTTGGGGAACACAATTTGTTGACATTCGGTTTTGCCGAGCCATGGAAAAGCAATTAAAATATTGCCAAAATATCCCCCAGCAAAGTGTGATGAAATTTTCATCAGAATCCGAATCAAAATCAGAATTGGCTAATTTATGGCTACATGGCTAGCGGAGTATGTCCACAAAGTAAGGTTAATTAAGCCGATCATGACGGGATTATAATGTCTATGGCTATGGCTTTTGAATAGACTATAACAACTGTAACATTTTCCAGTTGACAGTGGCAAGCAGCGAGGGAGGGTTGTGGGCCGTGGGCTGTGGGCACCGTGTGATGGTATAAATATTTATAGGCTCGGCCAAGTGCCAGCCAGAAATGTGCTCGACGGACCAAAAATAGCAATGAATGCGAGTATATAGACAAATATTGCTCCACGCAAACAGAGATACGGATTCGGGGGCTGGAATTCTTGGGCCATCGAAGCGTAAACTGGCGTCCGCTGCAGAATCGGTTGACAGCTTGACAGGCCACACGACGTATGCGCAATTTGTGAGCGAGAATGTGGCAATTCGAATGGAAATTCTGCAGCGAAGGATATTTTTAGGATTTGAAGTTTTCCATATTTTCCATATTATCTTATCTAAATGTAATCCTTTCCATATCTGTGACCTAATTTTCTATCAGACAAGACGTAGATACTTACAAGCTCATCTCCTCGTTGGTCACAGGTTGGGTCTTGTACCGCTCCCTCTGCAAATCCCTGCGCAGGACACTGGGCTTGAGTACCCTTGGGGTGGAGGGACCTGCGTGCTCCGAAGTGGATGCCTGCAGCGGTGACTCCCAACTGCTGTTTGGGCCACCAGCCGCACGGGAAGTGGGCGTGGACAGCATCTCCATGCGCTTAATCCGCTCTGCCACCGAAATGCTCGATGGAGTGGTCACAAAATCCACAGGAGTACTGGGGGCAGCCTGGGAGGTGGCAATGGCATCCAGTGCCGCTGCCAAATCCATACCAGGCTGGACATCCTGACGTTCCAGAGATCGGGTACGCCTCTTCAGCAGGCTGGGAGACGTGTTGGAGTCCTCCAAATCTTGCGAAGCGGAACCCAGGGACCGACGCTTCGATGGCGAGTCTGTCTTTAGGATTGAGGACAGAGAATCATTGACCTCCGTTTCTAGACCACTCAAATCGAACTCCTCGCGACTGCTCTTACGAGAGCTCTTCAGTATGGGACGTATCTCATGCTCATCCGCTTCGCCAAAGGATTTCTTTTTGAGTATGGGCTTGGGCGGACGCACTGCTTCCTCGCTGGAGGTGCTCTCCTGCTTCAGGATGGGACGAATCTCATGCTCTTCACCATCCTCATAAGTAATTCCATCATGGGCGGCCAGTTCAGCGGCAGCCAAGGTAACAGCTTGGGAAATGGAAACATGCTTGTGGCATCCTCCATCCGAGGGTGTGGATAGCGAGTCCTTTTTCTTCAGGATACTATGTGGCTGGCTCTCCGTGGCCGATGGGCAACCATCACTCTTGCTGCTGTCGTAGCTGCTCTGCTTGAGGATTCCATGAGCCTGAGCTGGACTCAATCCAGTGCCCGCTTCCTCCAGCGAATTCCTTCTGGCTGACTTAATAAGAATGCTCCGCTCATCAGGGGAATGGGATCGGGAGTAGTAGCGGGATTCATCCAGGCTCGATCGCTTCTTCAGTATTCCCTGCCGCTTGCATCGGCTAGCTCCGGCCAACGGATGATCCACCACACTCGAGGAGAAGGTCACCGGCGAAGGATTGCTTGAGGCACTGGAATTGCATTCGCCCAGGCCATGCTCCTTCTTCTTCAGTATGGATACAATTTGATTGGGGGCAGGTGGTGAATTCTGATTTGGCAGTCCCCCAGCTGCTCCACCCTCATCCGTGCTCTTCCTGCGCATTATGGCCGACATTTTCTGGCTGTTATCCACCGCTGGCTGTTGTTGCAGCGCCTCAGATTGCTCGGCAATCTTCTTGATCTCTGCGAGATCAGTCTTGGTCCGTTCATTAAACTTCTGGCTGACACTCCGGGCCACTGGGGCATGTATAGGTCGTGGAGCTGGCAGCACAGCGGTCATGGTGCGCACTGGAACCTCCGGATGGCGTACGGCTGGTATAAACTGACGATAGGGCTCTGAGATTGAGGTGGTGGATTCGCTGCAGGAACTCTTTTGGGGTGTGTGCAGCAAATCCCTTAGAGCTTCATCATCCCCCGGAACCAGAGGACGAGCCATTCCCAGTTCACGACGTCGGCGTCGGCGAGTTGAAGAGGCAACCTCATCTGCAAGAGAAGATCAGGAATTAGTAACTTTTTCTTAGAAAGTGTTAGATCGAAAAGCAGCCACTGGACATAACACGTGCATAACATTGAAAGGGGACTTGGCACAGCTTGGATTTTAACATATTTTACACAAGTTTTCTCAATGGAAAAGCTTTCTTGGCGCAGCACAAAATGATTTAAATGAAAGTGTTGGTAATGTTATTGAAAAAGCGTTTCATTCTGAGACGGTGGCAGCCACATGGCGCTCGAAGAAAGAATGATTCAGAGTGAGGTCTCTCCTCTTCGTGGTTATCTTTGCCGCGGCCTCATTGGATAGCCATTCAAGCTTGAAGGCAGTCCCAATTTGGAGCCATGCTGATCAGATCATCTCCCCTTGTGCTTGCTCTTTGCTGCACTGCATCCAGTTGTTGCCAACTTACCGCCATCCTTGGTGGCTTCCTCGGTCAATGAACGGTTCAGATTCGATTTCCGTTTGGCCGACTTGTCGCGATCTCCCATACGACGTGGTGATACCTCGGGCTATGGAATATCATTTAATTAGTATTTTACTTTAATTTAGAAATATTTAAAATTTAATTTCTTAAAGTTTTGAGTTCTTCTTACCGTTCTCTTGTGCTTCTGCACTGGACTCAATTGCAGATTAGCCAAGTGGTCACGTCGGCCATTCTCCGTGTTCTCCGTACTCAGCGTGGAGCTACGTGGTCGCATCCTGAGAGTGCATTCCACATTAGCCTTGGGCGGACTTACGGCTCCGCCCGTGAAGTGCAGTTCGCTGAGGTTCTGCTTCATGGAGACTCCCGAACTCACGGCCACCAAGGGCTGGCGTCTCTGTGTGGGTGGTGTGTCCACTGGCTGGGATGTAGACCGCGAAGGGATTCTACCAGTAGTTGCTGAAGGTGCTGGCTCTGAGTTGAATCCACTGGCACCTGGTGACTTGGGCGATAGTTCTGAGTTGCTAAGACGACGATGGGTCAGGGCTCCTCCGTTGCTGGAGTTTCTCGGGGATACGGGCGAACTGTATCTCTGGCGCTGCTCCTCTTCCTTCTTCTTATCTGCGGGTTGGGTTAGAAAAAGGGAGAACGCACACGATATTGAGGATGATGAAATGCGGGCATGGATACACAGAGAAAAAAGTAAAATCATTCTTAATTTTTGAATTTATGAATTGAATTTTTAGTTTTGATTTTAAAATTTTTTTTACTTTCTGTTACTAGACAAAAACTGAAAACACACAAAAGAAATTACAGGAGTTAGACTACGGGGTTGTGGATTTGGAAAGAGGGAAAACCCGATGACCTTCACCAGTACGGGGATAAAGATGAGTTAGACAGGAGACTCACCAAGCGCGGCGGCGCGCAGACGGCTCGCCTTGGTAGTGCGAACCGCTGGCGAGGATTGGGGCGAGGTGGTCGAGGAGGAGCAGCTGCCGCCGCTAAGGAGCGGGCTGGCAATGGCCTGCGGTGGAGCAATGGTGGACTGGCACTGGCTGCCAAGGAGCAGCGGCGACAGGGGATTCTTGCGACGCTTAATGGGCGAGCCAGCAGCAGATGTTGCTGCCGTGCCGTTGGATGTTGCTGCTGCTGTTGCAATGGATGTTGCTGCTGCAGATGTCGCTGTCTTAAGCACAATTAACGGCGCTTTGTTGGCATTAGCTAGGGGCGGCATGGGCGTGGTGGCGTGTTGCTGTTTAGTATTGTTGTTGCTGCTGCTGCTGCTGATGATGTTGTTGCTGTTGCGTTGCCTCGCGTTGCAATTGTTGTTGCTGGTGTGGCTGTAGGTGCAATTAATACTGCATTTGCCAGCTTTTCCACGACTTTGGCTGGCTGCTGTTGCATTTTGATGTTTTGGTTTTGTGTTGTTGGTTTTTTAAGAGGGTAAAATGCGTGGAGTTTGTTGTTTTAGTAAGACATTAAAGCTTATGATTGCTGCTTGTTGTGGTCGCTGCTGTTGCTGTTGCTGCTGCTGTTAGTGCTGTGTTGGTTTTGGTGTGTGCGTGAATGGGTTTGGGATTGCATAATGCAAATATGGGGGTCTGGGAAGGAAAAGTCAGCTCCAATCTAATGGCTGGCTGGCTATAGCTGGCAAAGATTGATTGGTGTGGTGACAAACACGAAATAGTTGCGAAAGTCTCTCTAATTTTGTGACAAAGGAAAAGCATTAAGCCCAAAACGAAAGTTTCCGAGCCGATCTCAGGTCATTAGGTCTCTATTTAACGATGATGTATTAACTTTGTCAACATTATTGGACATTAAACACTGACAGGGTCAGCGATTAGATTATCGTCCGACGATTAGATTTTGCTCACAAATAAACCAGAATTTACGACTCGCCGAGGAGATAAGTGTGGGAATTAATATAGAGAAAGGAAAAATGGCTAATGTATATATCTCTTTGACTTTTAGAACTTTAATACCATAAATCTTATATAGAAACTCAATTTCTTTTAAGACATTCTTCTAAGCCACATCATCTCGAGGCACTGTAATCCATCTCAACCTTGCCTGCGCCCCCTAAGCTTAGGGCTTATGTAAAACCCGAATGATTTCATAATCCATCCAGAAGACGGGGAGAAGGAGACAAAAAGAAATGGGCGAAAGAAACATATTTTTTTGGCAAATCATCTGGCAGCATCTCCGGAATCCGCCCGTTCATTGCCTTCTGCTGCCTGTCAGAGATCAGTGAACGCTCTCTAAGCTCTTTGGGGGCGATCGTTGGCCCTCTAGACGGCGCTCAGAAATCAAATTAATTCCACATAAAGTGAATCAGAAATTGCCAAATTGGTAAATATTGAAATTAATACGCTCTGCGGGAAAACAAAGAGCAACAAAACAATTGAACTGAAATCGACACGCCTGATCGATCATCATCATCATCATAGATGTTTATTGTTTATTAGTTTTTTGGCAGCTGCGCGTTCTGTGTGTGGCCACAAATGCTTACTAAATCTTTCCGATTAAACGGAAACTTCCCATAACCATACCCATGTGAGATGCAGATCTATGTCAACGATCTCCAAAGAGACTTTCTCAAGAGTCCAAGCTAAACCGTTATGAGAGAGAGATACACGCCTGAGGAGACTGTCAAAAATTTATGAAACCCTTGTCCCAGACCATTGATAATAAACCCGATTCCGATCCATTCATTGATAAATAAAATAAAAAATTGGGCACAGCCCGTCGCAGAGCGGGTTTTGGTTGGGATCTATTAGCAATTTTATGGCATCTTTCATTTGCCTAAGTTGCGTGAAGACTGCTCATCGATTTTTATCAAATGACAAACAATTTTATTCATTTATACACAAGAAAGAGGAGTTTGGCAAAAATGAAAAGAAACATTTCTTGGGAAACTTTGGAGTCATAATAATATTGCGAATAAAAATTGCGCAAATTGTCTTATATAATTTGGGCGGCTGTTAGACTTTTCTGACATCCGAGAAACCTCGCCAGTCAAAACATTTTGAAATTGATTCGACTTGAATCGCTTTTGCTCAATTGCAATTTGATTTAAATGTTTTGGCCGAAGGTCTCTCATGAGCCAAATTAACATTTGTCTAGAAAACGTTTTCGCTTGATTGGCAAGCCGACAAAAATCAAATTTAGTTTAAATTGCTTTTAAGTGTGCAAAAGAAACGAAGAAACGCTCCGCGTCTCGCCTCTTCCGATGATGGAGTTTGCTTTTATTCCCTCAGCTAATTTGCAGAAATCGTTGACAGGCTCACGGTTCAGGGCTGAATCGGCATGGGGCGGGCTAATTACCGATAGCTTTTGGTTGGGAAAGTTTGGCCCAAGAATTAATGAATTAGTAATGTTCGCCAAGCGGCTGAAACAAACCTAAATTAAGTGTGAGATCAGAAAACGATCAACGGAAACTAAGCAGAGAGGAAAACATAATTGCTGAAGATATTTAAAGATCTATCGAGATGTAGGGGATACTTTTAGGATCAGTAAGGGAGAGGTAAGATCAGCCTTCTACAGGACAGACTAACTATTTGTCAGGGCTAGAAAATGGATCATTAGTCAAATATGATGAAAGGCTTAAAAATATCGTATCATAGATCCAAAGTGTGGGATCATTTTCTGATCTACTGAACTATGTAATGGGTCTTTATTAGAGTTGGGCAGGAAATGGAGAATCATCTCTCTAATAACTGATTGATGTTAGTTTCTAAAGTAATTAATAAAAGGGGTTTGTAATATTCCAGTAACTTGATAGCAAGTAAAGTAAATGGTTAAGAAAGAGATCTATAATAATAAAAGGAATTCCTTCCTATACAATGAAATCTTAAAGACAGGATGCATGAAGTACGCTTCGAAGCAGAGTTCTCAAAAAGTTCCCAAGGGTAGAGATGGAATTCCTTGAAAACCCATGAACAAGAAGCTGCAGCTTGGCAAGCAAAGGATCAGTAAGCAGGCTAGCTAGGACATACAAAACGCTCAAGGACGAACAGGAACTCGAAACACACAAAAAACAGGCAACACAGAGACGTCACAGAAGCAACAACGAAAACAGATTAAAGAACTTAAGGAGGGACTCACCTGAGTTGGCAGATGCAGTGGGGCAGGATCCTAGGATGATGGCTTCGGGTTGCTGGGGCTCGTTGGTCAGAGCCTTAGGAACTTCAACTGGAGGATGTCGCTGCTGGTCATGGGTCATCACAGTGGTGGCTGCCGTCTCATAAGCGGAGCTATTCCCGTTCGCCGACGAGGATGGTGGATCAGTGACAGTGGCGGCGCCACCTGCCTTATTCCGTCTTCGGGTGGGTGAGGGTGAACTGCTGGAGGAGTCGTCACTGCGATGCAGCGGCGGGGGCGGAGAGTGTCCGGCGGAACTCTGGCGACTGGCGGAGCGCGTGGTGCGCGTTATGAATCTGCGGAGGCGGGTGGATTGCTTTATTACTTTGCTGGCTTTGTTAACTCCCCAACTAAGCAGTTTGTATTAAGTTTAGTTACACGGAAATAAACACGCGACAGCTGGGACGGCAGAATGAACAGAACACCAAAACAAAATACAGTTGCTGTGAAACGAGATATCCATCCGACAGATACAAAGATACAACTCTCGAGAGTTCCGCTAAATGCGGCACGGCTAGACGGCAGCAAACACGCTCGGCAACTGCCGCCGGATCGCCCAGCAAACTCGGTGGAAACCCACGGAGCCGCTTTTTTTTGTTGTTGCTGCTCTTTTTTTTTTTGGGTTTTGCCGCTTGGTATCTTGCAGATACACAGCGAACAGCGAACAGCAAACGGCAAACAGCAACAAAGTCACTCGACGCTGAACACACCGAAAATCACTCAAAAGCGAAAAAGAGAGCGCCGCAAAATTCGCACATTTGCGCCAGGTAGCAGCGGCATTTGTCAGATACAAGATATATATCTTGCATATATACAAAGATATACTATATATACAAACAGCGGCTTTATCTATACCGACCGTCAAAGAACAAAGCGTAACAAGTCTGTTATATCTGTTATTGTTATGGATTGGTGTGACTATTGCACGCATGCGCAAAAGGCAGTGTGCGCAGGTAGCTAAAAGTATCTCAAGCAAAGTACCTCAGAGTCTGGCATGTAAATGATAGCTACATTTAGCTGGACCGCCACTTCCTCATCCTCAGCTGACAATGCATATTTAGCCCATATCTGTTTAGCGAGCCAGTGAAGAATTTTGCAGCTTGTCTCAGACATTCAATCAAGCGCAAGACTTTGTCTACCTCTGAGTTTGTTTTCTGAGTTTTTCTTTGGATTTTTTTTATTTTGTTTTTCCAGGTAGACGTCAGGCTGCACACATTTAAATGTCGCGACGCATCAATGTCACTTCTTTTTTCTGCTTTGTGTACTTTATGATGTCTCGTGCCTGCCAGTCATAGCATCTCATAGATAGAATATCTTCTAGGCCGTCCTTGTGGAGAGGTAGGACAAGATCATATCGATCGTCAGCACAGAGGGCGTGATATGCTAGTCTCCCGAGAAAGTAGGTTAAGGGATTAACCCAAAGGATAATGGCATGTCTGGCATTGGACAAATATTTAGTTAAGAAAAACCCATAATTATTGAAAGGGAAACCGGATATTTGTTTATAGATACGAGGTGTGTTCAAAAAGTAAGGTGACTTTTCAAATTTCGCGGGCAACATATTTTCGATTATCGTTTTTTTTGTTTTGTTATATTGGTACACTCTTCCCTAACATCTGTACCAAGTTTCAATGGAACATCCTCTTTTGTTTGGTTGTGAGAGGCGTAAAGGTACAAGTTGTTTTGCGAGCTCGGCGATTTTTTGCTATCGAAAAATATGGATCAAAGGATTTGCATCAAATTTTGTGTAAAAAATAAAATTAAGTGCTCTGAAACACTTGAAATGTTGACAGTGGCATACGGTGAAACTGTTCTGAGTAAAAAAAATGTGTACAAGTGGTACAAACTCTTCCAAGATGGCCGGGAAGATGCCAATGACCAGCCTCGCTCTGGACGCCCAAGCACGTCAACAACTGATGAAAACGTTCAAGCAGTGACGAAAATTGTTTTGGAAAATCGTCGAATCACTATCAGAGAAGTTGCTGAAGATGTCGGTATATCGCTTGGCTCGTGCCATGAAATTTTTTCAAACGTTTTGGGTATGAGTCGTGTGTCAGCGAAGTTTGTTCCGAAATTGCTGAATTTTGAGCAAAAGAACCGTCGCATGAGCATCGCTCAAGAGCTGTTGAATGACGTCAACGACGACCCAGATTTACTCAAAAGGGTCATAACTGGTGACGAATCATGGGTATATGGTTATGATATCGAAACCAAAGCCCAATCGTCCCAATGGAAGAGCCCAGACGAGCCAAGACCGAAAAAAGCAAAAAATCGCCGAGCTCGCAAAACAACTTGTAACTTTACGCCTCTCACAACCAAACAAAAGAGGATGTTCCATTGAAACTTGGTACAGATGTTAGGGAAGAGTGTACCAATATAACAAAACAAAAAAAACGATAATCGAAAATATGTTGCCCGCGAAATTTGAAAAGTCACCTTACTTTTTGAACACACCTCGTATATTGGACTTTGCAAATTAAAGACTAGACATAGGATTAAACTGCTTAAGAAGTTAGAGATTAGGAGGCCTTGTTATTAATTCTAACACAAATTGAGAGCTACGAAAGTACTTTCAAGGAAATAAACAACTCTCTTTCAGGGGAAAAGCGAATTGGGTTGAATTTAATTGTTTTCATATTTCGTTACAGCAATTTCAGCAATCAACCTTTTGGGTTGGATTTCCTAGAACCTCTTTTCAAGGGTACTCCCCAGGCCTTCAATCTCTGCTTTGATCATCATTATGATCATCATCATCCGTCTCGCTCTCAGTTTTATATTCTTGATGCTTGACTTTGCCCGTCCGTCAAATGGAAATTTCCATAAATTGTATAAATTGCTTGAGACACACATATGACGTATCAGCTACTGGAAGATGTCCGAGAACTTTCCAACCCGTTGGAAAATCTCAGGGGGAAAAAGGAAAAGTGATAATAACCAGTTTGCGGATGCTGTTTTTTTTTTGTTTTTTGGGAGTCTATGCAGCTGCGATGAAAGCGAAACCAGGACTAGACCATTGACGATCTGGGCCAGGCTAGCTGGCCAACTGGCTAACAGGCCATCGAGCTGGCCATTAAATGGATAGCCAAGCAGACGCAGCAGGTGATCGGATGACGGTGTTGACACCACAAAACGGCCAGAAAACGGGGCCCCAGATAAATTCCACACTTAATTGCCGGGCATTCAAATTTTTCCTCGACGAGATTCTACATTGAATGCATTTTTAGAAAATTGTCTCTTTTTGGCTCTTGATTTTTCTTTCTCCACTCTTCATTTCTTTTATGCCGCGCGGCTCTTTTTTATGAGGCATTTTTGTAGCGAAAGCCTATTGGAAAAACTTGTCGCTAGTTTCGGGTTTGGCTGTAAAACAGGTGCTTTCTACGCCGGATTTCTTTTGGGGGTATAGGAGGAGTTGGAGTTGGGTTCGAGGTTGTGGGGTCGGGGGTCACTTCGGCGACAACAACAGCGTCAATGTGCCATTCGCTTTGATATATCACATTATAATTGATGGAACCAGAGACCGGCTGCCGCTGCGAATTGCACTCCACGCACTGATGCGATTGCCGAAGATGTCGCCGCCGCTGCCGCTACGATACGATCCCAAGCCAGCGACCATTCCCAATCCAAAATCTCAACCCCAAAACAATGGACCACGTAACACCCGACGGAGGGGGGAAAAAAGGCGAACAATACATGGATTTCGTTTGTTAACAAGCCCCCTGCCTCTGTGAATCTCGATTTGTTTGGGGGCCCGGCTTAAAGAGAGCCGCCAAGTCGCATTGTATAACACGACGTCGAACAATATGGGTGAAGATGGCATATAGCATATACAGCATATGGCATACAGCATATGGGGCTCTCACAAGAAAAAGGTGGCCCACAATGCAGGGAATTTGTTTTGATTGTGAGACAAGGATTATGGCGGGACAGAGCCTTAAAACGGATTAGTCCCACAGAAATAGAGAGAGAGAGAGTTTAATGTCTTTAATATTCCCTATAAAATCGTATACTCAACCGAAATCGCATTATAGTTGCTGGTTAATCAGCCGCAACTTCCGAGAACAAAACGCTTTCACCCTCGACGGTAATCAGCTTGATGACCTCTGAAGTAATTCCAATCAAAGCGCACACAATCACAGTCGCGGTTAAGAAAATAGTGAACTTATTTTTAAAATTGATTTCTTTTTGAGAAGAAAATATTTTCAACTTCTTTATACAAATTGTATAAATCTTAAATAAAATGTATTTGAGTAGCTCTTCTCATACCTATTCTTTCAACCGCCACTGTTAATCGAAGCGTAATTAACCTGCTTGGAATAACAACATGCAGAGGGAGTTGGAGTACAACCAACACCTGGCCGTAATCAGGACAACCTATCCCTGGCTAACGACTGGCGAAAAGGGAACTAATTATGCGCGTAATTGCTACCGAAACAGATAGAGATACATATTTAGGGGCTGGTGAAGAGTGAAGTACAAGTATCAAGGAGGAGGAGGTGGCTTCCATGCGGGGATGGGGTCTACCCAGCTTACCTGCGCGCATTGGTGGCCTGATGATGATGAGACTTGGATTCTACTGGCAATGATTGATGGGCATGCTGATCGTGTTCGAGATGATCGGGTTGGTGGTCAGCTTCGGGATCTGATTGATGGTGGCCATTGGCTCCGTTCACTAGCTGCGGCACCGAACCGATCCCATGGCTCCAGCGTTCCAGAGTATCGTAGACATCACCCTGATCGAGCTGGGTGGTGCTGTCGCAGTCTTCGATTTCCAGATTATGGTCGTAGAGGGTGTTTCTAATGGCTGACAATGATATCTTGGGGGGTTCCACAAATAATCGTTCCGTGTTCACTGGTTCCCCAGCATCATAGTTTTTGACATCATGGGAAGCCGATCTAGGAATAGTACGGGTTGAGGGTTCCAGGCTCTTGGCTAATCGCAGATTCAGTCGCTTGGAGGAGGACCGCCGGGCTACGTCTTCCGGGATTCCTTCTTCGGGGGGCAGCGACGTGGCCTTGGCACTCAGATTGGTGATCTTGCGACTAGAGTGCAGGGCCCGCAGCGATCCATCGTCATCGCTGCTGCTGCTGCTGCCCGCCGGCAACTCCTTGCTTGCAGTTGCTTCAGCCACAAGGTGTTGCTGCGATTGCTGCTGCTGCTGCTTGGGATTGCTGCCAGTGCCGCCCGAGTTGCTGCTCATCGGGGGATTGAGGTAGTGATGCTGCAGGGGCCAAAAGGTCGCCAGCTTGTCGGTTGTTGGCTTAGGCTGCTCCCGATCCTGATCCAGACCCTTCTCCTGCTCGTTGCTGCTGCTGCTGCTGCTGCTCCTGTTGTCCAGGTTCTTCTCCTTGCATATTATGTCGTAGAGGGCGCTAATTGGACGCGACTCACTGCGCACGCGTACCGCTCGCCGGGAGCGACTGTGGAAGCGCTGCTTGTGTCGACTGGTACGACCGGATACAGATCCGGATCCGGAAACGTTGGGATTAACTACGGGTGTTGGACTAGCCTGCTCTACGGGGTTACAACTACTGATGGTGGTGGTGCTGGTGGATGTGATGGGGGAGTGACTGGCGACAACGGGTGGCTCACCACCTTCGTGGCCGGATGGTTCACCTTTGGTAGGGCTCGCAGATCCCTGAGAGTATCTGAAGAAGCGTCCCTCGCTGCCGGTTCGCTGTTGGCTCCGGCGGAGTCTTGTGTGGCTGTCGCTGGACGCAGAGTCGCCACGAAAAAACGTTCCCCTGGCCGGATTACTTATGGGCAGAGGTGGATCCTTCGTAGCTGTGGTGCTCTTCGGAAACGAACGCTGCTCCACCAGCTGTGTACTGGGTGTACTATACACACTCCGATAGTTCTCATTCAGGGCTCCGACATCCGATGCATTCGGCGTGTGGATCCTGAGCTGAAGATCCGTGTAGTAAGCGGGTGTGGTGTGGTGATAGAAGTGAGGATGCTGGCCACGATACGACTGGGCTGGGAGACTCTTCTGCGAACTGGAATCCTCCGAGTTGTTGGTCTGCTCTTTCGGTTGCTTCGGTTTCTGTGGCTCAGGTGGCTGGCAGCTAGTTTTGGCAGTGGCAGATGCTGTGGATAAGTCACTTGAGGCCGCAATGGTTTCTGCGAACGAGAACGGGAAAAGGAGAACCATAAGTGAGAGTCGGCTAAATGAAAAGTAATGTTAACTCGTTTCCCCTAATGGCATTTCCGCTTAATGCAGCAAGATGTGTCCCAACTGGGGTCTAATACACTGAACTAAAATAAACTATAATCAGAACTTAACCCATTAAAAATATATATTACCCAGTAATAAAAGTAGATACTTCGAACTAGGAAACCTGCAGTTAAAGATCCATTCATTATTCTGCATTCCCTTTTCCCTCAGTGCACAATTCTCGTCTCGTTCCATCCGTGTGTTTGCTTTTCTAATTCACTTTTCCCGCACCGCACTTGGCGCGTAAAAAAAGCAAATCTTGGCAGCAATTAAATTGCACCTGAGCACTCGGATTAATATATTGCATGCTCTACAGCCCTCCCGAAACGCCCCCACCGCCTCATCTCGGTCTGCCCCATCAGCCCCGCCCACTGAGCACACCTACAACCGTGTCAAGGTGAGGTGAGGGTTGCCCGCTTTTTATAGCCAAGCATCTGCTCTGGCAATGAGTGCAGTATTTTTGTGGGCTGCGTACTTTTGGCAGTGACTGTAAAGCAAAATGTAAATGCAAATCTCATTTGACAACTGCCAAGGCATAAGCGATTAGTTATGCTCTCTGTACGAGCCAACCAAGGAAGCACACGAGGGCCTAATTAATCTGATATATACTCGTAGAGTAGCTCAAAAGCAAAAATGCTCAAAATTCGTTACAGAAAGTAATGCAACTTATTATTTCTTATAAAGCATTTGTTTGACAGCTGCTGCGCACATTTCAAGTGCCAAGATTCGCCCAAATGGAATTTCACGAATGTGCTCACATAAAATAGAAGCCTTTTTGGCCAAACGCTGAACAAATGTAAGAGCTCAGCGAATTTTTTGTATCTAATTTATTATGACAGGCAGTAAGAGACGAAGAAAAAATACAATTAACAGGCAAATACGAGCAGGAGAGAGTGGGGAGTGATCTTCGGGATATATATTTGTCCAGCAATTACGAATGTCCAGTGAAATTCAAATATTGAAACAGTTAGCACATCTCGGCAGGGCAAACAGAAATGAAGCCGCAGCCGCATATCTTATCAGACGATGAGAGCAAACAGCCACAAAGCAAAAGTCAATTTGTAGATCAGAAATAAAGTAGGTTTGATGTAGGCAAAACATGGCCAGCAATTTAGTAAAGAAAGCAAAAATATTTCACTTTTAATAATGTTTTCTTAAAATACAATAACATTTATTCAAACCTTCAAATAAAAAAGAAGTAACAGTGATGGGCTTTAAGTTTCATGTCACATAATCGTACATCACTGTGGTATTTATTATATGAAGAAGAATGTGCCATCGATGTCCATTAAAAGCCTATTTAAATCAATCTACAATTAAGAATCTTCATTTACTGTGTGACAATTTATCCTATAAAAACTATAAATTGCACAGAAATTTTAGTAATTAAATTAGTAGAGAAATAGCAGACGCGTGTGGGCGGGCCTTTGTCATAGCTTAAACATTTTTAAACAGTCAGCACGATGGACCCTTCCCCACTAATACCAATCAGCGGTTTAAAGGGCTTGTTTAACCCTCCATTGCCCCATTGCTGTCTCGTCACAACCCACGCTCAATTAAAAAACAGCAATAACAATATGTTGCCAAGCGCCGCCATTCCCCCAACCTTTGTCTAAAACATTTTGTACTTTTTTTTCGGGGGGGTTCTCTTAATTGATTGAAATGTTTTTCTTTTTTTCTTCTTTTTTCCGTTAAAATAAATTCAGACAAAATTCTTTTTAGCAAAATCGCATGGGACTTCTAGCTGCCTTTGTTTCTTTATCACCTGAGAATGCTTTCTGGGCCAAGTCAAGTGCAAAGAATACATTATAATTGGCAATTGTATAGCAAACCGTATAAAGACGACAAATCTAGTGGGAGGCGAGCACGTGTTTTGCCATTTTCTCAGAATGGGAAATGTCAGGAGGCATAAACTGTATATATAGTATTATATTGTTCACTGAATCGGAAGCATTGGTTACAAATAATCTAATGAAAAAGTTGCCTGGACATTTGACATAAACAAATATTGAGAATTTACGGGAAAACTGGGAATGTTTATACGAAGAGAATATTGAACTTAAAGGTAAACACAAGGCTTTCTTATCGCTGGCCAATTTCCTTGCCGGAAAAAACAGAAATAATTGAAAGCAAATATTCGCTTTGGTTTTTGTTTTGCCAACACGCCAGATCATTCTGCGATATATTTAAAAATAACAAGACGAAAATTGCATTACGGGATGACAATGGCCGAGAGTTGAACGTACACGGAGAGAGAGCTTTATAAGGTTTCGCTTATGGCTTATGGAAAATTGATCACAAACTCGTGCCATAAACAGTTTGTGTTCCCCAAAATATAATATTTTTGTATGCATTTACGCAATGGCTAAATCTGGCCATAAACAAATTGAAAACGAAACGAATATCTTGCAAGGCAAACTGCCAGCGTGGGATTCTCCAACGTATATATGAATGGGTTGCATGCCAAAATCCAAATCCAAACCAGAAAAATAAATAAACCAAGCCGTTTGGCAGCGTGCCTTATGGGTTATACTACGAGAATACCGATTTGCAAACAGCTTTTGGCTTTGCTAGAAAAGATTTCTTGAAGAATAAAAAAGTTTTTAACTAATTATTGGCAGTAAAAAACAGCTGGGAGTTCGTGTAACTAAAACGCTTCCAGGGACAATAACAATTACACAAAAACAAAAGCTGCTGTCAACATTTTTGCGGCTTCGTTGCGTTGAATTACCAAACGCTTCTGTGTGTGGCAGCCAACTCAGGCAACTGATTGATCGATTGGCTCTTGTCTTCTTGCGTCTTGCTACTTGCGTCTTGTGCCGCATACCCAGGTTGCATAATTAATATGGGGAGAGGGCACGGGCACGGGCACGGGCACCGGCATGGGCACGGCTTAAACTTGCTGCAAAAATATCATATTGTCAAGGCAATCCCAGACGGAGGCAGACCAGAAAAAAGGGTGCACTTAAAGAAACGGGGAGATCGTTAGCAGTTTAGTTTGCTTCTAGAATAGACTCCAGAAAACGCTTTCTGAGCCCTACTAAATCCTCCTCCAAAGGCATTTCCTTCCTTCTTTAAGACTAAACATATATTGTTGCATACTTTTAAGCTCAGAAATTAGAGAATTTTATTTAAATTCAGATTTAATTCGCTTCTTTATAAGATGCTTTTCCCAAAAGTAAATTCTAATCTTGAAAACCTTTTACTTAATCGAAAATTTAAAAATAAAATCAGGTAATTTTTTTGTAAATGCACTCAGAAAAGCCATCCAATGCCTATAAATACGTGTGTGGCTGCAGCAGAAAAAACCGGCGAGGGACGAAAAAAGGCAGAAGTTGAATCAATATTGAGGAAAAAAGTGCATTTTACAGAAGTGGCTGCCGTCTCGTTGTTTACAGTTTGCAGTTTGCTGGTTGCTGGTTGCTGTTTGCCACACAGCAGCAACGGCACAGGCGGGCAGCAAAATGTTGCAACGTCGTTTGGGATTATTTTTAAATGCAAGGGCAAACTGCCCACGACGAAGTAGAATCCCCCTCTTTTCCTTACTCTTTTATGCAATAAACACACACATTTAATTATCAACAGCCAGAAAAACGGAAAACCTCTTATCGACATCGGTCATAAAGTGGCCGGAGTTTTGATGGGTTTCTCGGGGAGAATCTTGGGAAACTCTTGACGAGTGCAGCATCAAATTGTGTAATTTCATGTTTGGCAATCAAAAGCAGTTAAAAGAACGCCGGGGAAGCCGTTGATGGATGTGTGTGGGAGTAGAAGCATCGCAGGAAATTGGGTTAAGTAAAGTTCTTGAACGCGTGGGATGTGTGGGAAGTGGATATTAAGCCAGGGTATCCCTATTACTATAACCCATGACGAGTGCCCCTCAATAGAGCTTGAGTGAACACATTTTCTCCTTTGTAATCGAAACCGTAAGTACTAAGCTCGTTCATGTGATATTACTTGAGGAAAACTGCGGTAATAACTGATAAACTATGACAAACTAACCGCCTGATGGGTAATATTTATCAAAAAGCTATTTATAGATCCTTTTACGACTCCAAACGATTGCCATTTACCAATTTATTGATATAGCCTGCTATTTAAATTTATATTGATTTATGTTCCCTAACCTATAGTAATAACGTAATCAATCTGCCAACTTAAATCGGATAAAGTTTAAGGGTCATAGTAAATCATTTAAGGTAAATCACCCCAAATACAAATTAATTCCCCCCAAAACTAAATTACTTTATTGATAGCCATCGGCATTAATCCGCCTGGCCAAAGTATCTTCCATCATGGGCCAACAGGTCGTAGATACAAATGACCTCTGATTGGAACGACTTTATAAGCAGGTTGAGGCATCGAATTGGATCCCTCTCTTTAGCACTTAAGCCCTTAACAATCAAATGAAATGGCCATAGATCAAGACTACGAGAGGGAAATATGTAAAAGCAATCGAAATGAAATAAAAGCTGGCCCGGTCTATAAACACCAACAATCGAGGCTAAGACAAAGGAACACCGCACACTCCATAGACAAATGACACAATCTTTCTGGGTCTGGGTCTGGGTCCGGGTTCCGTTAACTTGTCTCGCTTTATCAAAAAAAAAAAGCTTTGAAAAAAACTATGTTTTTTTGACAATAAAGGGGAAGGGGGCAGAAAAATTAACGAAAGACAATACTCTAGCCAACAATTTCGATGGTAAACAATGCCAATACAAATCGTTAACAGTTATTAAACAATAATCCAGCGGAAAAAAGGTGCATTTATATAGGAAACAACGCCGATAGCTGGACAACTGCTGGCCGTACGACGCCAGCGTTTAAAAATAACAAATTGGAATGAAAACTGATTCTTTCGGGGCAGAGTCTACAAGCTGGCTAGGCACTTTGATATAAAAATGTT